CCTCAGACCCTTCCTAAACCCCTCAGGCCTCCCCAAAACCCCTCCAGATCCTGCCAAAACCCCCCCAGAGCCCCCCAGACCCTCCCAAAACCCCCTCAGACCCTCCCTAAACACTCTCAGCCCCTTCAAACCCCCCTCAAACTCCCCCCGTGTCCCCGCAGGTCACCATGGACTCCCGTTTCACCCGCGGCGAGTCTCCGGTGCTGGAGCGGGCTCTGGCCCGGCCGCGCTCGGAGCTGTCCCTGCCCCAAATCCCCGTGTCCCATCGATGTCCCCCTGACCCCCCTGTCCCATCCATGTCCCCTGTGTCCCCCTGACCCCCGTGTCCCCCCTGTCCCCCCCAGGTGCCATGGACTCCTGTTTCACCCGCGGCAAGTCCCCGGTGCTGGGCTGGCCATGCTCGGAGGTCTCCCTGCCCCAAATCCCCGTGTCCCATCCATGTCCCCCTGACCCCCGTGTCCCATCCATGTCCCCTGTGTCCCCCTGACCCCCGTGTCCCCCCCCCTGTCCCCCCAGGCGCCATGGACTCCCGTTTCACCCGCGGCAAGTCCCCGGTGCTGGAGCGGGCTCTGGCCCGGCCGCGCTCGGAGCTCTCTCTGGCCGCCTTCGCGCTGCTCTTCTCGGAGCTGGTGCAGTACTGCCAGCGCCGCGTGGCCTCGGTGGCCGAGCTGCAGTCCCGCCTGGCCCAGCTGGGCCACCACGTCGGGCTGCGGGCCCTGGACGCGCTGGTGGCCCGCGAGCGGCCGGGGCGGCGCGACACCAAGGTGCTGGGCGTGCTGCTGTTCGTCAAGGGGCCGCTGTGGCGGGCGCTGTTCGGGCGCGAGGCCGACAAGCTGGAGCAGGCCAACGACGACGAGAGGACCTTCTACGTGATCGAGCGGGAGCCGCTGGTGAACACCTTCGTGTCGGTGCCGCGCGAGAACAGCTCCCTGAACTGCGCCGCCTTCGCCGCCGGGCTGCTGGAGGCCGTGCTGGGCGCCGCCGGCTTCCCCGCCCGCGTCAGCGCCCACTGGCACAAGGGAACCACCCTCATGATCAAGTTCGACGAGGCCGTCATCGCCCGCGACAAGAGCCTGGAGGGGCGCTGAGATATGGGGACATGGGGACATGGGGACATGGGGACAAGAGCCTGGAGGGGCGCTGAGATTGGGGACATGGGGACACGGGGACATGGGGACACAGGTTGGGGACAGCCTGGAGGGGCGCTGAGGCATGGGGGGGACATGGGGACACAGATTGGGGACATGGGGACAAGAGCCTGGAGGGGCGCTGAGGCACTGGGGACATGGGGACATGGGGACATGGGGACACAGGGACAAGAGCCTGGAGGGGCGCTGAGATATGGGGGACACGGGGACACGGCTTGGGGACATGGGGACAGGCTGGAGGGGCGCTGAGATATGGGGGACATGGGGACAAGAGCCTGGAGGGGCGCTGAGGCACCGGGGGACATGGGGACAAGGGGCTGGAGGGGCACTGAGGCATGGGGGACACCATGAAAAGGGTGGGGACAGCCTGGAGAAAGTTGGGGACAGCCTGGAGGGGTGCTGACATATGGGGGGATGTGGGGACATGGGGACAAGAGCCTGGAGGGGCGCTGAGATATGGGGGGGGACATGGGGACACAGATTGGGGACTGGCTGGAGGGGCGCTGAGGCATTGGGGACATGGGGACAAGAGCCTGGAGGGGCGCTGAGATATGGGGGGACACTGAGACATGGGGACACGGGGCTGGGGACAACCTGGAGCAGTGCTGAGACATGGGGGGACACGGGGATGAGGGGTGGGGACATGGGGACACAGATTGGGGACAAGAGCCTGGAGGGGCGCTGAGATATTGGGGGACATGGGGACATGGAGACATGGGGACAAGAGCCTGGAGGGGCGCTGAGGCACTGGGACAGCCTGCAAAAGGGTGGGGACATGGGGACATGAGGGTTGGGGACAGGCTGGAGGGGCGCTGAGATATGGGAGGACATGGGGACACAGATTGGGGACATGGGGACAAGAGCCTGGAGGGGCGCTGAGGCATGGGGGGACACTGGGATGAGGGGTGGGGACATGGGGACATGGGTTGGGGACAGCCTGGAGGGGCGCTGAGGCACTGGGGGGACATGGGGACATGGGGATAAGAGCCTGGAGGGGCGCTGAGGCACTGGGGAGATGGGGACACGGGTTGGGGACAAGAGCCTGGAGGGGCGCTAAGGCGTTGGGGACATGGGGACATGGGGACACGGGGACAAGGGCCTGGAGGGGCGCTGAGATATGGGGGGACATGGGGACAAGAACCTGGAGGGGCGCTGAGACACGGGGGAGGACACTGGGATGAGGGGTGGGGACATGGGGACACGGGGACAAGAGCCTGGAGGGGCGCTGAGGCATGGGGACATGGGGACATGGGGACAAGGGGACAAGAGCCTGGAGGGGCGCTGAGGCACCGGGGACATGGGGACAAGAGGCTGGAGGGGCGCTGAGGCACTGGGGGGGACATGGGGACATGGGGACATGGGGACAAGAGCCTGGAGGGGCGCTGAGGCACCGGGGACATGGGGACACAGATTGGGGACGTGGGGACAAGAGCCTGGAGGGGCGCTGAGATATGGGGGGACACTGGGAAAGGGTGGGGCCATGGGGACATGGGTTGGGGACAGGGGACAGGGACAGGGACACGGGGCCAGCGTGGCTGTGTCACACAGTGCTGTGGGACAGGGACACGCGGACAGGGACAGGGGGACAGGGACAGGGACAGGGACACGGGGACAGTGACAGGGACACAGGGACAACGTGGCCGTGTCACACAGTGCCGTGGGGACAGGGACACAGTGACAGGGACACGGGGACAGGGACACAGTGACAGGGACACGGGGCCAGCCTGTCCGTGTGTCACTCGCCGTCCCTCCCGCGATGTCCCCGTGTCCCTGCTCGGTGTCACCGTGTGTGCAGAGGCCACCAGAGCACATTGTCACATTGTCACCTCCCTCAGGGCCTCACCCGCTGCCACCACCTGTGACCAGGTGGCCCTTGGGGACATCGCGGCTCTGTGTCCCTCACTGTCCCCAGGGTGGCCTTGGGGACATCGCTGTCACCATAAACTCTTTGTCCTTCCCGTGGCCTCGGCTCTTCTTTGCCTTGGGGACATCTTGGGGTGGCTTTGGGGACATTTTGGGGTGGCTTTGGGGACATTTTGGGGTGGCTTTGGGGACATTTTGGGGTGGCTTTGGGGTTTTTTTTTGGGCTTTTTGGGGTATTTTTTTGGGTTTTGGGGTTTTTTTGTGGTTTTTTTGTTATTTTTTGGGGTTTTTTTTTGGTTCTTTAGGGTTTGTTTGTTGTTTTGGGGGATCTTTTGGGTTTTTTGGGGGATTTTGTGTTCTTTTAGGGGTTTTTTAAAATTTTTGGGCTTTTTTTGGTCGGTTTTTGGGATATTTTAGGGACTTTTTGGGGTTTTTTGCGGGGGGTTTTAGGTTTTTTTAGGGTTCTTTAAGTTTTTTTGGGGGGTGTTGGAGTTTTGGGTTTTTTGTGGTTTGGGGTTTTTTTGGAGGTTTTCATTATTTTTGAGGGATTTTTAGGGGTTTTTTTAAGGGTTTTTCAGGGAGTTTTTATTTTCTTTTGTGTTTTGTGGCTTTTTTAGGGTTTTTTGAGATTTTTAGGGGTATTTTTTTAATCTGTGTTGTGTTTTGTTGGTTGGTTTTGGGTTTTTTGTTTTAATTTTTTTTGGGGGAGGATTTTTTATGTGTTTTTGGTTGGTTCATTTTTGGGTTTTTGTTTTTTTAAGATGTATTTTCGGGTTTTGGGGTTTTTTTAATGTGTTTTTGGTTGGTTGGTTTTTGGGTTTTTGGTTTTTGGGTTTTTTTGGTTTTTTTAAGGATGTGTTTTTGTTTGTTTTTTGGGGCTTTTCTGGGGTTTTAGGGTTTTTTGGGTTGTTTTTTTGATGTGTTTTTTGGGATTTTTTGGGGGGGTTTTGGATGTGTTTTTGGTTTATTTTGGGGCTTTTTAAGGGTTTTTAGGGGTGTTTTTTGGTGGTTTTGGATGTATTTTGTGTTTGGTTGGGTTTTGGGTTTTTGTTTTTGGAGGTTTTTTTCTGGATGTGCTTTTGTTTGTTTGTTTTTTGGGGCTTTTTTAGGGTTTTTAGGGGTATTTTTGGATGTGTTTTGGTTGGTTGGTTTGGGGTGGGTTTTTTGTTGGTTTTGGGGCTTTTTTTAGGGTTTTTAGGGTTTTCTTGGTTTTTTTGATGGGCTTTTTTTGTTGGTTTTTTTTGTTATTGGTTTTTTGGTTGTTTCTGGGTTTTGAGGGGGATTTTGGTTGTTTTTTGTTTTTATTTTTATTTTTATTTTTATTTTTTATTTTTATTTTTATTTTTTATTTTTATTTTTATTTTTTGTTTTTATTTTTATTTTTAATTTATTTTTATTTTTTGTTTATTTTTATTTTATTTCAATTTTTATTTTAGTTTTAATTTTTATTTATATTTTTATTTATTTTTTATTTTTATTTTGGTTTTTTTATTTTATTATTTTTTGTTTATTTTTTTTTTTATTTTTATTTATTTATTTTTATTCTTATTCTTAATTTTATTTATATTTTTATTTATTTATTTTTATTTTTATTTTATTATTTTTATTTCATTATTTTTATTTCATTATTTTTAGTTTTATTTTTAGTTTTTTATTTTATTTACTTATTTTTATTTATTTATTTTTTATTTTTATTTTGGTTTTTTATTTTATTATTTTTAGTTTATTTTTATTTTTATTTTTATTTATTTATTTTTATTCTTATTCTTAATTTTATTTATATTTTTATTTTTTTATTTTTATTTTTATTTTATTATTTTTATTTCATTATTTTTATTTCATTATTTTTAGTTTTATTTTTAGTTTTTTATTTTATTTACTTATTTTTATTTATTTATTTTTATTCTTTTTTTTTTTTTTTTTTTTGTGTGTTTTCGCTGCTTTGTACTCCTCCCATCCGCCAGGCGGCGCTGTGGCGTCTCCTCCTCCCTCCGCAGCCCTCCGGCCACTTCCGCTTCCGGCACTCAGCGTTCCGCCACTTCCGCTTCCGGCGTCTCGTTCCGCGGCCGCCATCACCGCCGGGCCCGGTCGGTGCCGCCGCCGCCGCCGCCGCCGCCATGGGCGCTCACCTGGGCCGCCGCTACCTGTGGGACGCCGAGGCCGAGCCCGACCCGCTGAACATGCCGTCCTTCCCCGCCGAGCTGGGGCTGCCGGGCCGCCAGCCGCGCGGTCAGTGCGGGGACACCGGGAGGGGACACGGGGACACCGGGGGAGGGGACACGGGGACACCGGGGGAGGGGACACGGGGACACCGGGGGAGGGTGGCACGGGGACAGCGGGGGAGGGTGACACGGGGATGGGGGGGGGGCGGTGGCTTTGGGGTGTCCCCGCCCTCGCGTGACCCCGGTGACCTCCCGGAGCGCCCCTCCCCCCCGGTGATGGCCGCTGCCACCCCCGTGTCCCCACCCCGTGTCCCCATCCTCGTGTCCCCACCTCCGCCGCGTGTCCCCAGATGCCACCTGTGTGTCCCCTGGGTGTCCCTCAGTGTCCCCGGGGTGTCCCTCAGTGTCCCCAAGTGTCCCTGAGTGTCCCTGGGTGTCCCTGAGTGTCCCCAGGTGTTTCTGGGTGTCCCCTCTGTCCCTGACTGTCCCCTCTGTCCCTCAGTGTCCCCAAGTGTCCCTCAGTGTCCCCGGGGTGTCCGTGAGTGTCCCCAGGTGTCCCTCAGTGTCCCTGAGTGTCGCTGGGTGTTTCTGGGTGTCCTTGAGTGTCCCCAAGTGTCCCCTGGGTGTCCTTGACTGTCCCCGGGTGTCCCTGGGTGTCCCTGACTGTCCCCGGGTGTCCCTGGGTGTCCCTGTCCCCTCTGTCCCTGACTGTCCCTGAGTGTCCCCTCTGTCCCTCAGTGTCACTGGGTGTCCCTGAGTGTCCCCAAGTGTCCCCTGGGTGTCCATGACCGTCCCTGTGTGTCCATGAGTGTCCCCGGGTGTCCCTGTCCCCTCTGTCCCTCTGTCCTCCCCTCTGTCCCTGACTGTCCCCTGTGTCCCTGGGTGTCCCTCAGTGTCCCTGACTGTCCCCTGTGTCCCTCAGTGTCCCCGGGTGTCCCTCAGTGTCACTGGGTGTCCCTGAGTGTCCCCGGGTGTTCCTGGGCATCCTTGTCCCCTCTGTCCCTGCCTGTCCCCTCTGTCCCTGCCTGTCCCCTCTGTCCCTGAGTGTCCCCTCTGTCCATGAGTGTCCCTCACTGTCCCCTGTGTCCCTGACTGTCCCCTCTGTCCCCCCTGTCACAGCCATGGTGGCCTCAGCAGCACAGCTGGCCCAGGCCCGAGTGTCGCTGTGTCCCTGACTGTCCCCTGTGTCCCCTGTCACAGCCATGGTGGCCTCGGCGGCGCAGCTGGCCCAGGCCCGGGTGTCCCTGTGTCCCTGACTGTCCCCTGTGTCCCTGTGTCCCTGAGTGTCCCCTGTCCCCTGTCACAGCGATGGTGGCCTCAGCAGCACAGCTGGCCCAGGCCCGGGTGTTGCTGTGTCCCTGACTGTCCCCTGTGTCCCCTGTCACAGCCATGGTGGCCTCGGCGGCGCAGCTGGCCCAGGCCCGGGTGCCGCTGGAGCAGCGCGACTTCTGTGGGCACCACCTGCTGCGGCTGCTGCGCTGCCAGCGGGACACGTTCCCCGTGCCATGGCAGTGCCACCCGCTGCGCCACCGCTGGGACAGCTGCCAGCACCACGAGTGAGTGACAGCACTGGGGACATCATTGGGGACATTGGGGACATTGGGGAGGGACACGTTCCCCGTGCCATGGCAGTGCCACCCGCTGCGCCACCGCTGGGACAGCTGCCAGCATGAGGAGTAAGGGACATTGGGGACATTGGGGACATTGGGGACATTGGGGGGGGACACGTTCCCCGTGCCATGGCAGTGCCACCCGCTGCGCCACCGCTGGGACAGCTGCCAGCACCACGAGTGAGTGACAGCACTGGGGACATCATTGGGGACATTGGGGACATTGGGGACATTGGGGGGATTGGGGACATTGGGGACATTGGGGACATTGGGGACATTGGGGTGGGACACCTTCCCCGTGCCATGGCAGTGCCACCCGCTGCGCCACCGCTGGGACAGCTGCCAGCACCACGAGTGAGTGACATTGGGGACATCATTGGGGACATCATTGGGGACATTGGGGGGATAGGGGACATTGAGGGGACATTTGGGGCATTGGGGACAATTCGGGGGATTGGGGACATTGGGGACATTGGGGACATGGGGGACATTGGGGACATTGGGGGGACATCGGGGACAATGGGGACATTGGGGGGATTGGGGGGATTTGGGACATTGGGGATGTTGAGGACATTGGGGACATCGTGGGGGACACGGGTGGGTGGCAGCAGCAGGACATGGGGACACCGGGACAGCCGGGACGTGTCGGGGGGTGACGGGGACATGGGGGGTGGTGACACAATGACACAGTGACACACAGTGACACACGGTGATACACGGTGACACACGGTGACACACGGTGGCACACGGTGACACACGGTGACACACAGTGACACAGTGATGACACACAGTGACACGGAGGTGACACACGGTGACACACGGTGACACACAGTGACACACAGTGACACACGGTGACACGCGTGTCCCCCGTGTCCCCAGCTACGTGATGCGCATGAAGGAGTTTGAGCGCGAGCGGCGACTGCGGCTGCGGCAGCAACGGCTGCGACAGCGGCACGGGGACGGGGACGGGGACAGCGAGTGACAGCGAGGGACACTGAGTGACACTGCGGGGACAGCGATGGGGACAGCAACAGGGACAGCAAGTGACAGCGAGTGACAGCGAGGGACACCGAGGGACACTGCGGGGACAGCGAGTGACACCGGGGGACACCGAGGGACACTGCGGGGACAGCGTGGGGACAGCGATGGGGACAGCGAGGGACACTGGAGACACTGAGTGACACCAGGAACACCATGGTGACATCGAATGACACCGAGTGACACCGAGGACACCGCAGTGACACCCGGTGACAGTGACATGAGGCCCCCCCGCGCAGTAAAGGCCCCGAGTGACACCCAGTGACACGGAGTGACATCAAGTGACACCCGGTGACACCACAGTGACGGTGACACAAGGTCCCCCAGTGCCATAAAGGCCCCGAGTGACACCCGGTGACATCGGTGACACCACGGTGACGGTGACACGAGGAACCCCGTGCAGTAAAGCCCCCGAGTGACCCCGGTGACACTTTGGTGACCCCGGTGAAACCGTGGTGACCCCGAGTGACACCGGTGACACTGTGGTGATGGTGACACTGATGCCACCCTGCTCAATAAAGCCCCCGAGTGACCCTGAGTGACACCGTGGTGACAGTGACACGAGGAACCCCGCGCAGTAAAGCCCCCAAGTGACACGCGGTGACACCGGTGACACTCGGTGACAATGACACGAGGTCCCCCACACAATAAAGCCCCCGAGTGACACGAGTGACACGAGTGGTGCTGGCTGTCACTGCTCCTGGGGACATCGCAATGCCACCACCCCCCCCCCCCGGTGTCCCCCGGAGGGGACAAGGACAGGCCACACGCGGGTGGGGGATGGCATTTATTGTCACCTGCGGGGACCGAGCGGGGAGGGGACACCGGGGATGGCACCGGGGAGGTGACACTGGCACCGGGGCGGTGACACTGCCACCCTGGAGGTGACACTGCCACCGGGGAGGGGACACCGGGGATGGCACCCAGGGGGTGACACGGGACAGTGGGGCCACACTCCCGGGTGGGTCCTGCTGTGACACGGGTGACAAAGGGCTCACGTCCCCTGTCCCCTCCTGTCCCCAGAGCTCAGGGCGGGGCTGGCAGGGACACTTCACGGTGTCCCCAAGTGTCACAGCAGGGAGGGGACACTGGGGGATGGGCTGTGTCCAGGGATGTCCCCGCGGTGTCACAGCGGGGAGGTGACAATCAGGGATGTCCCAGGGATGTCCCCAGGGGTGTCACAGCAGGAAGGTGACATGGGGGATGTCCCCAGGAATGTCCTGGAGATGTCCCCGCGGTGTCAGAGCAGGAAGGGGACACCGGGGATGTCCCAGGGGTGTCCCCAGGGTGTCCCCAGGATGTCCCCAGGGGTGTCACAGCAGGAAGGTGACATGGGGGATGTCCCGGGGATGTCCCCAGGGATGTCCCTGCGATGTCCCAGTGGTGTCACAGCAGGAAGGTGACAATGAGGGATGTCCCGGGGATGTCACAGCGGTGTCCCCGCGGTGTCCCCAGGGTGTCAGAGCAGGAAGGGGACGATGGGCGATGTCCTGGGGATGTCCCCAGGGTGTCCCCGCGGTGTCCCCACGGTGTCACAGCAGGAAGGGGACATGTCCCGGGGATGTCCCCGCGGTGTCACAGCAGGAAGAGGACGATGGGCGATGTCCCGGGGATGTCACAGCGGTGTCCCCGCGATGTCCCCAGGGTGTCACAGCAGGAAGGTGACATGTCCCCGCGATGTCCCCGCGGTGTCACAGCAGGAAGGTGACGTGTCCCCAGGGTGTCACAGCAGGAAGGTGACACTGGGGGACGTCCCCGCGGTGTCCCCACGATGTCACAGCAGGAAGGGGACGATGGGCGATGTCCCCAGGGATGTCCCCAGGGTGTCACAGCAGGAAGGGGACGATGGGGGACAATCCCTGCAGTGTCACAGCAGGAAGGGGACACCGGCGATGTCCCAGGGATGTCCCCGCGATGTCCCCAGGGTGTCACAGCAGGAAGGGGACGCTGGGTGATGTCCCGGGGATGTCCCCAGGGTGTCCCCAGGGATGTCCCCACGGTGTCCCCACGATGTCACAGCAGGAAGGGGACGATGGGGGACAATCCCCACGATGTCACAGCAGGAAGGGGACGCTGGGGGGTGTCCCGGGGATGTCCCCACGATGTCACAGCAGGAAGGGGACGATGGGCGAGCGCAGCGGGGGATAATCGCGGAACTCGCGCAGGTAACTGCGGTGTTTGCCCTGAGCCCAGATCGCCATCTGCACAAAGCCCACCAGCGAGAACAGCGCCACTGCGGGACAGGGGACAGAGGGGACACTGAGGGGACAGCGGGGACACCGCGGGGACACAGTGAGAACAGCGCCACTGCGGGACAGGGACAGGGGACATCAGGGGACAGGAGGGGACACAGCAGGGACACAGCGAGAACAGCGCCACTGCGGGACGGGACAGGGGACATCAGGGGACAGGAGGGGACAGAGGGGACATCAGGGGACAGCGGGGGACATCAGGGGACAGCGCCACTGCGGGACAGGGGACAGGAGGGGACACTGAGGGGACAGCGGGGACAGCGCCACTGCGGGACATGGACAGGGGACATCAGGGGACATCAGGGGACACTGAGGGGACAGCGGGGACAGCGCCACTGCGGGACAGGGACAGGGGACATCAGGGGACAGCGGGGGACATCAGGGGACAGCGGGGACAGCGGGGACACTGAGGGGACATCAGGGGACACCGCGAGAACAGCGCCACTGCGGGACAGGGACAGGGGACATCAGGGGACAGCGGGGACAGCGCGGGGACACTGAGGGGACAGCGGGGACACCGCGGGGACAGCGCCACTGCGGGACAGGGGACATCAGGGGACAGCGGGGACACCACAAATCCCCCTAAAATCCACCCCAAATCCACCTAAAATCCCCCCAAAATCCACCCCAAAATCACCCAAATCCCCCCAAAATCCAACCAAAAATCACCCAAATCCCCCCAAAATCCAACCCAAATCCAACCCAAAATCCACCTCAAATCCCCCCAAAATCCACCCCAAATCCACCCCAAATCACCCCTAAATTCACCCAAAATCCACCTGAAAAATTCCACTTGAAATCCCCCCAAATCCCCCCAAAATCCAACAAAAATCCCCCCAAAATCCACCCCAAAATCATCCAAATCCTCCCCAAATCCACCCCAAATTACTCCTAAATTCACCCAACTCCACCTAAACCACCCGAAATCCCCCCAAATCGCTCCTAAATCCACCCTGAATCACCCCAAAATCCACCTCAAATCCCCCCAAAATCCAACCCAAAATCACCCAAATCTCCCCAAAATCCACCCCAAAATTACCCAAATCCCCCCAAAATCCACCCCACAATTACCCAAATCCCCCCAAAATCCAACCCAAAATCACCCAAATCCCCCCAAATCCAACCGAAAATCCACCTCAAATCCCCCCAAAATCCAACCCAAAATCACCCAAATACCCCCAAAATCCAACCCAAATCCCCCCAAAATCCAACCCAAAATCCACCTCAAATCCCTCCAAAATCCACCGCAAATCCCCCTAAATCACCCCTAAATTCACCCAAAATCCACCTGAAAAACTCCACTCGAAATTCCCCCAAATCACCCCTAAATCCACCCCAAATCCTCCCAAAATCCACCCCAAATTACTCCTAAATTCACCCAAATCCTCCCAAAATCCACCCCAAATTACTCCTAAATTCACCCAAATCCACCTAAACCACCCAAAATTCCCCCAAATCCAACCCAAAATCCACCTCAAATCCCCCCAAAATCCACACCAAAATCCACCCCAAAATCACCCAAATTCCTCAAAATCCAACCCAAATCCCACCCAAATCTACCCCAAATCCCCCCAAAATCACCCAAATCCCCCCAAAATCCAACCCAAATCCCACCCCAATCTACTCCAAAATCACCCAAATCCCCCCACAAAATCCAACCCAAAATCACCCAAATCCCCCCAAAATCCACCCCAAATCTCACCCAAAATCCATCTCAAATCCCCCAAAATCCACCCCAAAATCATCCAAACCCCCCCCCAAATCCAACCCAAAATCATCCAAACCCCCCCCAAATCCAACCCAAAATCCACCTCAAATTCCCCCAAAATCCAACCCAAAATCCACCTCAAATCCCCCCAAAATCCACCCCAAAATCTGCCCAATCCACCTCAAATCCCCCCAAAATGCAACCCTAAATCACCCAAATCTCCCCAAAATCCACCTCAAATCCCCCCAAAATCCACCCCAAATCCCCCCAAAATGCCCCCCAAATCCACTTAAAACCCCCCAGGGTGCCCCCGCCGTGCCACCACTGTCCCCCGGTGTCCCCGATGTCCCCCGGTGTCCCCTCACCGGGCAGGCACTGCGTCATGATGGTGAAACCGATCCAGGAGCCGACCTGGGGGGGCAGACGGGGACAGGGGCGTCACCCACGGGTGGCACTTGTGGGGCGTCACCCACGGGTGGCACTTGTGGGGCGTCACCCACGGGTGGCACTTGTGGGGTGTCACCCATGGGGTGTCACCCTCCTGCCCTGCGGTGACACCCCCAGCTCGGGGATGTCCCCTCTGTCCCCTCCCACTGCAGGTGCCCCCCTGCTCCCGGTGTCACCAGGGCTGTCACACCCCCCCCAGGTGTGCCCAGGTGTCCCCAGGTGTGCCCAGGTGTGCCCAGGTGTGTCCCCAGCTGTCCCAGGTGTCCCCATGTGTCCCCATGTGCCCCCAGGTGTCCCCATCTGTCCCCAGGTGTCCCCAGGTGTCCCCAGGGCTGTCACATCCCCCCCAGGTGTCCCCAGGTGTCCCCATGTGTCCCCAGGTGTCCCCAGGTGTCCCCATCTGTCCCCAGGTGTCCCCAGGTGTCCCCATGTGTCCCCAGGTGCCCCAGGTGTGCCCATGTGTCCCCATGTCCCCCCAGGTGACCTCGTAGGTGTAGTTGGGGCAGGACACCAGCAGGAACAGCCACGTGAACGGGTTCCGGGTCGGGTACGGGATCTTCCGCGCCTTCGAGCCTGCGGCACCACAAGGGACACAACGGGGACACATCATGACATACCATGACATATGGGGACACGGGGACACATAGGGACACGTGGGAACATGGGGACACGGGGACACACCACGCATGGGACACGGGACATGGTGACACATGGGGACATGGTGACACACAGGGACACAGGGACACGGTGACATACCAACATGGGGACATGGGGACACCAGGGGACACAGTGACATACCGTGACACGGTGACACACCGTGACACACAGGGACACACCGGGACACAGTGACACACGGTGACACGGAGACACGGTGACACACGGTGACACACAGGAACACAGGGGGGGACACGGTGACATGGTGACACAAGGGAGCATGGGGACATGGGGACACGGTGACACATTGTGACACACAGGGACACAGGGAGACACGGGGACACAGGGGGACACAGGGACATGGGGACACAGGGACACACGGGGACACGGTGACACACCACACACAGGGACATGAGGACATGGGGGGACACGGTGACACATGGGGACACATGGGGACACGGGGACACGGGGACACACAGGGACACACAGGGACACAGTGACACACCAGTGACACACAAGGACACGACACCGGTGACACACGGGGACAGTGGTGACACACAGGGGGGACACACGGGGACACCCCAGGAGCACAGGGACAAGGGGACTCGGTGACACATGAGGACACGGTGACACACGGTGACACACAGGGACACACGGGGACACACATGGGACACGGTAACACACGAGGGGACACACAGGCATGGGGACACGGGGACACACGGGGACACACAGGGACACATGGGGACACAGGGACATGGTGACACACGGGGACACACATGGGACACGGTGACACACAGGGACACACAGGCATGGGGACACGCGAGGGGACACACCGGTGACACGGCTCACACACCGGTGACACCCTCAGGACACACGTCACCCCCCAGGCCACCCCCCGGACAGGTGCCACCCTCCTGTCCCCTCCTGTCCCCACCGTGCCCCGACAGCCGCGCCTGCTCCCCTGTGTCCTCATGGCCCCGGCACCAGCGTGTCCCCAATGTCCCCAATGTCACCCCGTGTCATCAGTGTCCCCAATGTCCCCAATGTCCCCAATGATGTCCCCAATGTCCCCAATGATGTCCCCAATGTCCCCAACATCCCCAATGTCCCCAATGTCCCCATCGTCCCCGATGTCCCCAATGTCCCCAATGTCCCCCTGTGTCACCCCATGTCCCTAGTGTCCTCTGTGTCATCAGTGTCCCCAATGTCTCCATGTCCCCAATGTCCCCAATGTCCCCAATGTCCCCAGTGATGTCCCCGGTGATGTCCCCAGTGTCCCCAGTGTCTCCCCGTGTTATCCCGTGTCCCCATGTCTCCAACGTTCCCAGTGTCCTCACTGTCATCCTGTGTCCCCTCAATGTCTCCAATGTCCCTAGTGTCCCTATTGATGTCCCCAGTCATGTCCTCGTGATGTCCCCAGTGTCCCCTCAATGTTCCCACTGTCCCCAATCTCCCCCCGCTGTCCCCAATGTCCCCAGTGTCCCTAATGTCCCCCACTGTCCCCAGCGCTGTCCCCAGTGATGTCCCCAGCGCTGTCTCCAATGTCCCCAGTGATGGTCCCAGTGATGTCCCCACTGTCCCCGCTGTCCCCACACTGTCCCCAGCAATGTCCCCAGCAATGTCCCCACTGTCCCCACTGTCCCCTCACCCGCGGGCCGGAGGTTCCTCAGGGCCACGTGGATGGAGAAGTTCCCGAGTTGGCAGAACTGGGGGGGGGGGAGGGGTCACAGGGATCCCCAAACCCCCCAAAACCCCCCCAGGGACCCGCAAACCTCCCCAGGGACCCCTCAGGGACCCCCCAGGGACCCCCCAAACCTCCCCAGGGACCCCCCAAACCTCCCCAGGGACCCCCCAGGGACCCCCCAAACCTCCCCAGGGACCCCCAAACCTCCCCAGGGACCCCCAGGGACCCCCCAGGGACCCCCAAACCTCCCCAGGGACCCCCAAACCTCCCCAGGGAACCCCCCAAAACCCCCAGGGACCCCCCAAACCTCCCAGGGACCCCCAAACCTCCCCAGGGACCCCCAAACCCCCCAAAATCCCCCCAAACCCCCACAATATCCCCCATGCCCCCCCCCCCAAACCCCCCCAGTCCCCACTGGGACCCCCCCAAACCCCCCCCAACCCCCCCCAATCCCCCCATTCCAGCCCCCCAAACCCCCCATGACTCCCCCAACCCCCCCAATCCCCCCACCCCAGTCCCCACAAACCCCCCAAGACCCCCCGAGGCCCCCCCAAATCCCCCCAATCCCCCCATTCCAGCCCCCCCAAAGCCCCCAAGAACCCCCCAAGCCCCCGAAGACCCCCCCAAACCCCCCTAACCCTAACCCTAACCCCCACCCCAGTCCCCACAAACCCCCCAAGACTCCCCCAAACCCCCCAAATCCCCCCAATCCCCCATTCCAGCCCCCCAAGCCCCCCCAGCCCCCGTCCCCGCGGGCACTCACCAGGAACACGGCCAGCGCCAACTTCACCTGATCGTCACCGTACGCTGCGGGGACACCGGGTCAGGGACGGGGACAGGGACAGGGACAGGGACAGGGACACAGGGGCAGGGACATGGGGACAGGGACATGGGGACAGGGGGACAGGGATGGGGACAGGGACGGGGACAGGGACAGGGACACAGGGACAGCCCCAGTGTCCCCAGCAGAGGGGACACAGAGGGGACAGGGACAGGTGACAAGAGAGAGACCCTGATGGGGACGTGAGGGGCAGTGGGGACACACAGGGACAGGGAGGGGACAGGGAGACGGGTGACAGTGACAGGTGACAGTGACAGGTGACAGATGACAATGACAGGAATAGGTGACAGGTGATAGTGACAGGGACAGGAATAGGTGACGGTGACAGTGACAGTGACAGGTGACAGTTACAGGTGACAATGACAATAGCAGTGACAAATGACAGTTACCGATGACAATGACAGGAATAGGTGACAAGTTACAGTGACACGTGACAAGTGACAGTGACACAGTGACACAGTGACACAGTGACACAGTGACAGTGACAGGTGACAGTGACAGTGACACTCACCTGGCGGGGTGTACAGCGGGTGGTTGATGTAATGGGGACAGTGACAGTGACACAGTGACAGGTGACAGTGACAGTGACAGTGACAATGACACAGTGACAGTGACGGTGACACAGTGACAATGACAGGTGACAGTGACAGTGACACTCACCTGGCGGGGTGTACAGCGGGTGGTTGATGTAGTGGGGACAGTGACAGTGACACAGTGACAGTGACACAGTGACAGTGACACAGTGACACAGTGACACAGTGACACAGTGACAGTGACAGTGACAGTGACACTCACCTGGCGGGGTGTACAGCGGGTGGTTGATGTAATGGGGACAGTGACAGTGACACAGTGACAGTGACACAGTGACAGTGACAGTGACAGTGACAGTGACACTCACCTGGCGGGGTGTACAGCGGGTGGTTGATGTAATGGGGACAGTGACAATGACACAGTGACAGTGACAATGACAGTGACAATGACAGTGACAGTGACAGTGACACTCACCTGGTGGGGTGTACAGCGGGTGGTTGATGTAATACGCCATCCAGGCAGCGAAGCCCCAGTAGTAGGTGCAGTTCTGGGGACATTGGGGACACGTTGGGGACATTGGGGACACACTGGGGACACGTTGGGGACATTGGGGACACGTTGGGGACAGTTGGGGACATGCTGGGGACACGTTGGGGACATTGGGGACATTGGGGACATTGGGGACGCGTTGGGGATACAGCAGTGGCCGGCAGGGGACACCTGGGGACAGCCGGGTGTGCGGCCACTGCCACGGAGGGGACAGGGAGGGGACAGGAGGGGACAGGGCGGCGCAGAGGTGGCACAGGTGACACACAGGTGACACTCAGGTGGCACAGGTGACACACAGGTGACACTCAGGTGACACAGGTGGCACAGGTGGCAGTGTCACCTTGAAGATGTTGCGCAGGGGCATGGTGCCGTGCGAGAAGGGGAGGGGACAGGAGGGGACAGGAGGGGACAGGGTGGTGCAGAGGTGGCACAGGTGGCACAGGTGGCACTCAGGTGACACAGGTGACACAGGTGGCAGTGTCACCTTGAAGATGTTGCGCAGGGGCATGGTGCCGTGCGAGAAGCGGTGCACGAACAGCGTCTCCAGCAGCCGCTTGACGTAGTGGAACGAGTGACAGCAGCACGCCAGGCTGGGGACAGCGGGGACATCGCTGGGGACACCGGGGACACACCTGGGGACATCCCAGTGTCCCCAGTGTGTCCCCAATGTCCCCATTGTCCCCAATGTCCCCTCAGTGTCCCCAATGTCCCCAATCCCCCCAATGTCCCCAGTGCCCCCAATGTCCCCAATGTCCCCAGTGTCCCCAATGTCCCCAATGTCCCCACTGTCCCCGATGTCCCCAATATCCCCTCAATGTCCCCAATGTCCCTTTGGATGTCCCCAATCCCCCCAATGTCCCTGATGTCCCCAATGTCCCCCCAATGTCCCCAATGTCCCCTCAGTGTCCCCTCAATGTCCCCTCAATGTCCCCGATGTCCCCATGGATGTCCCCATGGATGTCCCCAATGTCCCCAATGTCCCCAATGCCCCCAATCCCCCCAATGTCCCCAGTGTCCCCAATGTCCCCAATGTCCCCCCAATGTCCCCAATGATGTCCCCATGTCCCCAATGTCCCCCCAATGTCCCCATGTCCCCAATGTCCCCAACACCCCCAATGTCCCCAATGTCCCCAATGTCCCCAATGTCCCCAACACCCCCAATGTCCCCAATGTCCCCAATCCCCCCAATGTCCCCAACACCCCCAATGTCCCCAATGTCCCCAGTGTCCCCAATGTCCCCAATGTCCCCAATGTCCCCAATCCCCCCAATGTCCCCCACTGTCCCCAATGTCCCCGATGTCCCCTCAATGTCCCCATGTCCCCAATGATGTCCCCTCTCTCACTGCACCACGCGGTGCCGGCTCGCTGTGAAGTCGTAGCGGGCTCCGTAGAGGAACGGGACCCGGAAGTAGAACAGCAGGTAAATCAGCAGGGGGCCGGCGTACTCCGTCAGGAACACCTGCACAGGTGAGAGGGGACAGGGACAGGTGAGGGACAGACAGGGACACCTGGGACAGGTGAGGGACAGGTGAGGGACAGGTGAGGGACACGGACAGGTGAGGGACAGGTGAGGGACAGGTAAGGGACAGGTGAGGGACAGGGGAGGGACACCTGGGACAGGTGAGGGACAGGTGAGGGACAGGTGAGGGACATGGACAGGTGAGGGACAGGTGAGGGACAGGTAAGGGACAGGTAAGGGACAGGTGAGGGACAGGGGAGGGACACCTGGGACAGGTGAGGGACAGGTGAGGGACAGGTAAGGGACAGGGACAGGTAAATCAGCAGGGGGCCGGCGTACTCCGTCAGGAACACCTGCACAGGTGAGAGACAGGGACAGGTGAGACACACCTGCACAGGTGAGGGACAGGTGAGGGACAGGGACACCTGGGACAGGTGAGGGACAGGGACAGGGACAGGGACAGGTAAATCAGCAGGGGACCGGTGTACTCCGTCAGGAACACCTGCACAGATGAGGGACAGGTGAGGGACAGGGACAGGTGAGGGACAGGTGAGGAACAGGTAAATGAGCAGGGGACCCACGTTCTCTGTCAGGAACACCTGCACAGGTGAGAGACAGGTGAGGGACAGGTGAGGGACAGGTGAGGGACAGGTGAGGGACAGGTGAGGGACAGACAGGGACACCTGGGACACGTGAGGGACAGGTGAAGGACAGGTGAGAGGGGACACCTGGGACAGGTGAGAGACAGGGACAGGTGAGAGGGGACACCTGGGACAGGTAAGGGACAGGGACAGGGACAGGTAAATCAGCAGGGGGCTGTCGTACTCAGTCAGGAACACCTGCACAGGTGAGGGACAGTCAGGAACACCTGGGACAGGTGAGGGACAGGTGAGGGACAGGTGAGGGACAGGTGAGGGACACCTGGGACAGGTGAGGGACAGTCAGGGACACCTGCACAGGTGAGGGACACGTGAGGGACAGGTGAGGGACAGGTGAGAGGGGACACCTGGGACATGTGAGGGACAGGTGAGGGACAGGTGAGGGACAGACAGGGACAGGTGAGGGACACCTGGGCCAGGGGAGCACAGGGAACATGGGACAGCCAGGAGCAGGGACAGAGGGACAGACAGGGACAGACGGACACGGGGACACCTGGGGGACACAGGTGTGACACACAGGTGTGACACACAGGTGACACAGGTGACACAATGGATAACACAGGTGTGACACAGGTGACACAATGGATAACACAGGTGACACTCAGGTGACTCAAGTGACAGAGGTGACACAGGTGACAAAGTGGATGACACAGGTGACACTGGTTACACAGAGGTGACACAGGTGACACACAGGTGTGACACAGGTGACACAGGTGTGACACACAGGTGACACAGGTGACACAGGTGTGACACACAGGTGTGACACAGGTGATACAGGGATGACACAGGTGTGACACACAGGTGTGACACAGAGGTGACACAGGTGTGACACACAGGTGACACAGGTGACACACAGGTGTGACACACAGGTGACACACAGGTGACACAGGTGACATAGGGATGACACAGGTGACACAGGGATGACACAGGTGTGACACACAGGTGACACAGGTGTGACACAGAGGTGACACAGGGATGACACAGGTGACACACAGGTGACACAGGTGACACACAGGTGTGACACAGGTGACATAGGGATGACACAGGTGACACAGGGATGACACAGGTGTGACACACAGGTGACACAGGTGTGACACAGAGGTGACACAGGTGTGACACAGGTGACACAGAGGTGACACGTGACACAGGTGTGACACAGGTGACACAGGTGACACAGGGATGACACAGGTGACACACAGGTGACACAGGTGACACACAGGTGACACAGGTGTGACACACAGGTGACACGCAGGTGACACACAGGTGACACACAAGTGACACAGGTGTGACACAGGTGACACAGGTGCCCTCACCGTCACCCAGCTGATCTGCGCCCCCAGGTCCCGGAAGTAGAGTGTGGCCGTGGTGCCCACGGGCAGCGACTGCAGCACATCCTCGTCCTTCAGAGAGCGCCCCTCTGCGGGCAGCGGGCACACCTGGCACAGCTGGCACGGCTGGGGCACAGCTGGTGCACCTGGCACAGCTGGCACGGCTCACACACACCTGGCACACACCTGGCACACACCTGGCACACACCTGGTGCACCTGGCACACACCTGGCACAGCTCACACACACCTGGCACAGCTGGCACACAGCTGGCACACACCTGGCACACACGTGGCACACACCTGGCACAGCTCACACACACCTGGCACACCTGGCATGGCTGGCACAGCTCGCACACACCTGGCACACACCTGGCGCACCTGGCACACGGCTCACACACACCTGGCACACAGCTGGGACACACCTGGTGCACCTGGCACACGGCTGGCACACAGCTGGTACGGCTGGCACACACCTGGGACACACCTGGCACAGCTGGCACAGCTCACACACACCTGGCACAGCTGGCACAGCTGGGGCACAGCTGGGACACACCTGGCACACACCTGGCACACAGCTGGTGCACCTGGCACACAGCTCACACACAGCTGGCACACACCTGGTGCACCTGGCACAGCTGGCACGGCTCAGACACACCTGGCACACACCTGGGACACAGCTGGGGACACACCTGGGGACACCTGGAAGGTACCTGGGGACACACCTGGAGAACACTGGAGGGTACCTGGGACACCTGGGGGATACCTGAGGGACAGCTGGGGACACCCGGGGACACCTGGGGACAGCTGGGGACACCTGGCACAGCTGGGGACACCTGGGACACCCCAGGGGACAGCTGGGGACAGCTGGGGACAGCTGGGACACCCCTGGGGACACCCCTGGGGACACACCTGGGACACCTGGGGACAGCTGGGACACCCCGGGGACACTTGGGACACCGCTGGGGACAGCTGGGAACATCCCTGAGGGATACCTGGGCAGACCTGGAACACCTGGGGACACCTGGGACACCCCTGGGGACACCCCTGGGGACAGCTGGGACACCCTGGGGACACCCCTGGGGACAGTTGGGGACAGTTGGGGACAGCGGTGGCACTCACTGGGGTCCAGGCGCAGGGACTGCCTCGCCGGGTACCACTGCGGATCTGTGGGACAGAGGGGACAGCGCTGGTGGCACTGCGGGGACACAGCCCCCATGGGGACAGCAGTGGTGGCACTGCAAGGACAAGGCCACAGAGGGGACAGCAGTGGTGGCACTGAGTCCCCATGGCTCGGTGACACGTTCCCATGGCCTGGTGACACGTCCCCATGACCCGGTGACACGTCCCAGCCACACTGAGGGTCCCCAAGGCCCCATGGTGGGACCCCATCCTTGTCCCCATCCCTGTCCCCATGTCCCCATCCCTGTCCCCATGTCCCCATCCCCCCATCCCTGTCCCCATGTCCCCATCCCTGTCCCCATGTCCCTGTCCCTGTCCCCATGTCCCTGTCCCTGTCCCCATGTCCCCACTCACGGCTTTTGCTGAACAGGTTTTTGATGTCGGCCACCGTGGCCTGAGGCTCCACCTGGGGACAGCGAGGACAGTTAGGGGACACGGGGACAGCAAGGACAGTCAGGGGACACGGGGACAGCGCCAGGCTGGCCAGGCCACCCCTGTCCCAGTGTCCCCTCCCAGGCCACCCCATCCCCGTGTCCCCTCACACACTGTCCCTGTGTCCCCATGTCCCCCCCTGTGTCCCCTCGTGTCCCCGTATCCTCCCATCCCGATGTCACCTCCTGTCCACCATGTCCCTCCATGTCCCCTCATGTCCTCGTGTCCCCCCACATCTGTCCCCATGTCCCTGTGTCCCCATGTCCCTCTGCTCCCCCATGTCCCCCCGTGTCCCCATGTCTCCATGTCCCCACATCCCCATATCCCCCCGTACTGTCCTCCTGTCCCCCCATGTCCCCCTGTCACCCCATGTCCCCCCATGTCCCCATGCCCCCCCCATACCCCCCTCATGTCCCCGTGTCCCCACGTCCCCCTGTCCCCCCACACCCCCTCACGTCCCCATGTCCCTCTGTCCCCTCATGTCCCCATGTCTCCCTGTCCCTCCATGTCCCCATGTCCCCCCACATCCCCTCATGTCCCCATGTCCCCCCATACCCCCTCATGTCCCAATGTCTCCTTATGTCCCTGTGTCCCCACGTCCCCCTGTCCCCCCATATCCCCCCATGGCCTCCTGTCCCCCCATGTCCCCATGTCCCCCCATGTCGCCATATCCCCCCATGCCCCCGTGTCCCCATGTCCCCCCACACCCCCTAACATCCCCATGTCCCCCTGTCCCCCCATGTCCTCACATCCCCCCATGTCCCCTCATGTCCCCGTGTCCTCCTGGCCCCCCATCTCCCCCTATGTCCCCATGCCCCCCCATGTCCTCCTGTCCCTCCATGTCCCCATGTCCCTCCATGTCCCCCTGTCCTCCTGTCCCCTCATGTCCCCCTGTCCCCCCATATCCCCCCCATGTCCTCCTGTCCCCCCTGTCCCCCCACACCCCCTCATGTCCCCATGTCTCCCTGTCCCCCCATGTCTTCCTGTCCCCCCATGTCCCCATGTCCCCCCATATCCCCCCATGTCCCCATGTCCCAATGTCTCCTCACGTCCCCCTGTCCCCCTGTCCACCCATATCCCCATATCCCCCCCATGTCCTCCTGTCCCCCCATGTCCCCCATATGCCCCCATGTCCTCATACCCCCCCTGTCCCCCCATGTCCCCATGTCCCCCCATACCCCCTCATGTCCCAATGTCTCCTCATGTCCCCATGTCCCCCTGTCCACCCATGTCCCCGTGTCCCCACATCCCCCTGTCCCCCCACACCCCCTCACGTCCCCATGTCCCAATGTCCCCCCATGTCCCCCCATGGCCTCCTGTCCCCCCATGTCCCCTTATGTCCCTGTGTCCTTCTGTCCCCCCATGTCCCCCTGTCCCCCCATGTCCCCATGTCCCCTCACATCCCCCCACATCCCCCTGTCCCCCCATGTCCCTGTGTCCCCCCATGTCCTCCTGTCCCCCATAACGCCTTATGTCCCAATGTCCCCCCATGTCCCCATGTCCCCGTGTCCCCCCACACCCCCTCATGTCCCAATGTCCCTCTGTCCCCCCATGTCCCCATGTCCTCCTGTCCCGCCATATCCCCCCCATGTCCTCCTGTCCCCCCTTGTCCCCATGTCCCCATATCCCCCCCATGTCCCCCTGTCCCCTCATGTCCCCCTGTCCCCCCACATCCCCTCCTGTCCCCATGTCCCCCCATACCCCCTCATGTCCCAATGTCCCCTCATGTCCCCATGACCTCCTGTCCCCCTATATCCCCCTGTCACCCCCTGTCTCCCTGTCCACCCACATCCCCACATGTCCCCATGTCCCCCCATACCCCCTCATGTCCCAATGTCTCCTCATGTCCCCCCATATCCCCCCCATGTCCTCCTGTCCCCCTGTATCCCCCCATGTCCCCCCATGTCCCCATACCCCCCCTGTCCCCCCCTGTCCCCTGTCCCCGGACCTTGTCGAGGAAGCAGAGTTTCTCCCTGCTGCGCGCGTCCAGGATCTCCACCTCGAAGAAGAGCACCGCGGCTTTCTTGGGCCGCTTCCCGGGGCCCACCGGGGGCCACAGCCCCATGGCGGGCCCCGGGGCCACCCCCGGGCCACCGTCTCGGGGTGCCACTGTCACCTCCATGGCCCCGACACCCGATCGGCCCCGCCACCGCTAAATATAACCCGCCCCCCCTTGGTGGCCCCGTGGTGGCCCCGGTGGCCACCGGAGGGACAGTGACACCGCCGGGGACAGCACAGGACAGGAGGTGAGGCAATGTCCCCGCAATGTCCCCGCGATGTCCCCGCCAGCCCCGGTGGCCGCTGTCACCGCCGGGGGGTGACATCGGGCGGGGGGGGACACCGGCACGGGTTTGTCACCCCGAGGTGACACGTTGGGGACAGTGCCACCCTCGGGAGGGGGGGGGGACAGCTCCGTGGGCTACCGGGGCCGTGCCCGAGGAGCCACCGGAGCGGTGACGGTGACGGTGACGGTGACAGCGACGGGGACAGCGACGGTGACGGTGACAGCGGGGCTCGGGGGGGGACAGCGGGGTCCGTCCCGGGGTCACCGCGGCCCCTCCGGGTCCTGCACCTGCCCGGGACCCTCTGGGACCTTCCTGAACCTTCCAGGACCTTTCGGGACCCTCCGGGACCTTCCAGGACCCTCCGGGACCTTCCAGGACCCTCCGGGACCACCGGGAGCCCAAGCCCCGCCCCCTCAACAAGCCACGCCCACTTTTACAACGGCCCCGCCCCCTCAATAAACCCCGCCCACTTTTACAACGGCCCCGCCCCCAGAAAGCTCGCCCTGCCGCGCATGCGCACAGCCCGACGCCCACCGCACATGCGCACAGCGCGTCCCGGGCGCCCCGCGGCGGAACGCGCGGGTTCCGCGGAGCCGCCGCGATGGCGCCGTGCGGGGCCGGCGGCGGCGGCTCCCGGGGCCGCTCCGGTGGCGGTGTCCGCCCCGGGCCGCGGGCGGCGCGGCCGCCTCACCTCGTAGTGCTTCATGGCCGCTGCGCTCCGCCGCTCCCGCCGCCCCCGCCGCCCCCACGTGACCCGCCCCTCACGCCGGCGGGGGGGCGGGGCCTGCGGCTCGGCCAATCGGCGGCGCTCGCGTGGCTCGGCGCGGCCAATCAGGAGGCAGCGGCCCCGCCCACGCGCTCGCCCCTTCCCGCCGCGGCGGTTGCCGGGGCAACCTGAACGCCCGAGGGGGACTCCGCCAATGGGAGGCGGGGGCGGGGCGTGGAGTGACGGCCGCGGCAGCCAATGGGATCGCAGAGGGGGCGGGGCTGAGGGTGGAGTGATGGCGTGCTCGGCCAATGGGCTCGCGGGAGGGGCGGGGCGTGGGAGGGGCAAGCAGCACATGGGGGCGGGACTAAAGGGGTCTGGGGGGGTCATGGGGGGTCTTTGGGGTTTGGGGGTCTGTGGGGTTTGGGGGTCTGTGGGGTTTGGGGGGGCTGTGGGGTTTGGGGGGGCTGTGGGGTTTGGGTGGGCTCTGGGGTTTGGGGGGTCCGAGAGGTTTGGGGGGTCTGGGGGGGCCATGGGGACTGGAGGGGTCAGAGGGACTGGGGGGCTGTGGGGTTTGGGGGGGCTGTGGGGGGTTTGGGGGGGCTGTGGGGTTTGGGGGGGCTGTGGGGTTTGGGGGGTTATGGGGTTTGGGGGGCTGGGGTTTGGGGGGGCTGTGGGGTTTGGGGGGCTGTGGGGTTTGGGGGGGCTGTGGGGTTTGGGGGGTCTGAGAGGTTTGGGGGGGTTGTGGGGTTTGGGGGGCTGAAGGGACTGGGGAACTGTGGGGTTTGGGGGGCTCTGGGGTTTGGGGTTTCATGGGAGGGGTCTCAGGGACTGGGGGGCTGTGGGGTTTGGGGGGGCTGTGGGGTTTGGGGGGTCCGAGAGGTTTGGGGGGTCTGGGGGGCCATGGGGACTGGAGGGGTCACAGGGACTGGGGGGCTGTGGGGACTGGGGGGCTGTGGGGTTTGGGGGGGCTGTGGGGTTTGGGGGGTCCGAGAGGTTTGGGGGGTCAGGGGGGCCATGGGGAGGGGAGGGGAGGGGTCCGAGGGGCTGGGAGGGGTCACAGGGACTGGGGGCTGTGGGGTTTGGGGGGTCCGAGAGGTTTGGGGGGTCATGGGAGGGGTCTCAGGGACTGGGGGTCTGTGGGGTCTGGGGGGCTGTGGGGTTGGGGGGGCTCTGGGGTTTGAGGGGTCCGAGAGGTTTGGGGGGTCTGGGGGGGCCATGGGGACTGGAGGGGTCACAGGGACGGGGGGGGGCTGTGGGGTTTGGGGGGGCTGGGGGCCCTTGGGGGGGTGGGGGGCTATGGGGAATGGAGGGGTCAGAGGGAATGGGGGGCTGTGGGGTTTGGGGGGCTGAAGGGCTTGGGGACACTTGGGGACACTCTGGGACATCGGGACACGGTGACTGTGGGGCCGTGGGGACAACGGCGTGGGGGGGGTCTGTCCCTCCCTGTGTCCCCATGTCCCCTTGGCCACCTGTCCCCAGGTGTGCAATGGCCGTGTGCCCGTGTCCCTGTCCCCGTGTCCCCATGTCCTGTGTCCCCATGTCCCCATGTCCCCATGTCCTCATCTCAAATGTCCCAATGTCCCCATGTCCTCCTTGTTCCATGTCCCCATGTCCCTGTCCCCATGTCCTGTGTCCCCATGTCCTCTGTCCCCAGGTGTCCAATAGCCGTGTCCCCATGTCCCTGTCCCCAGTGTCCCCATGCCCTGTGTCCCAATGTCCCCATGTCCCTCCCTGTCTCAAATGTCCCCATGTCCCCATGTCCTCCTTGTCCTATGTCCCCATGTCCCTGTCCCCATGTCCCCATGTCCCTGTCTCAAATGTCCCCATGTCCCCATGTCCTCCTTTCCCCATGTCCTCCTTGTCCCATGTCCCTGTCCCCAGTGTCCCCATGTCCCCATGTCCCTGTGACTCGATGTCCTCCCTGTCCCGTGTCCCCATGTCCCCATGTCACTGTCACAAATGTCCCCATGTCCTGTGTCCCAATGTCCCCATGTCCTCCCCATCCCCGTTCCCATTCCCGTTCCCGTCCCCGTCCCCGTTCCCGTTCCCATTCCCGTTTCTGTTCCCATTCCCTTTCCCGTTCCCGTTTCCATTCGTATCCCCGTTCCCGTTCCCGTTCCCGTTCCCATCCCGGTTCCCTCCCGATCGCCCTCCCGGCACCTCCCCCGGTCCCTCCCGGGCTCCTGCCCCGTTCCCTCTCCCGGTTCCTCCGCCGATCTCTCCCCGCTCCCTTTCCCGACCCCTCCTCGGTCCTTCCCCGGTCCCTCCTCCGGTCCACTTCCATCCCTCGGTGCATTCCCGGTCCCTCCCCGTTCCCGCCCTCGGTCTCTCCATCCCTCGGTCCTTTCCCGGTCCCTCCCCGCTCCCTCCCCACCATTCCCGGTCTATCCCCGCTCCTTTGGCGGTCCCTCCCCGCTCCATCCCCGTCCGTTCCTCGGTTCCTCCCCGTTCCCTCCCGTTCCCACCGCCACCCCCATCCATTCCCCGGTCTATCCCCGTTCCTATCCCCGCTCCATCCCCGGTCCCTCCCCATCCCTCCCCGCTCCCTCCCGGTCCCTCCCGGTCCCTCCCGGTCCCTCCCCGGTCCCTCCCCGGTCCCTCCCCCATCCCTCCCGGTCCCTCCCCATCCCTCCCCATCCCTCCCCATCCCTCCCCCATCCCTCCCGGTCCCTCCCGGTCCCTCCCCGGTCCCTCCCCATCCCTCCCCATCCCTCCCGGTCCCTCCCCGGTCCCTCCCCGTCCCCCCCGCCCCTCGGGGCTCCCTCCCCGCGCCCGTCCCGCGGCGTTTCTCTCGGTGCCCGGTGCCAGAGCGGCGGGACGGGCCATGGGGAAGGATTATTACCGCACGCTGGGGCTGTCCCGGGGCGCCTCCGCCGCCGAGATCCGCCGCGCGTACCGGCGGCAGGCGCTGCGCTGCCACCCGGACAAGGACCGGTCCCCCGGCGCCGAGCAGCGCTTCAAGGAGGTGGCGGAGGCGTACGACGTGCTCAGCGACCCCAAAAAACGGGAGATCTTCGACAAGTACGGGGAGGAGGGTGAGCGGCGGCACCGGGAACCGGGGGAAACGGGCTGGGGGGATGGGGGGTACGGGAGGGGATTTGGGGGGCACGGGAGGGGATTTGGGGGGCACGGGAGGGGATTTGGGGGGTCGCGGGAAGGTGGGGAGGGGATTTGGGGGCCACGGGAGGGGATTTGGGGGTCCGGGGGGGATCCGGGCCGGGGGGATGGGGGGCACGGGAGGGGATTTGGGGGGTACGGGAGGGGATTTGGGGGGTCGGAGAGTCAGGGGAGGGTCCGGGCCGGGGGTCTGGGGGGCACGGGAGGGGATTTGGGGGGTACGGGAGGGGGGATGGGGGGCACGGGAAGGTGGGGAGGGGATTTGGGGGGTCGAGGGGAGGTGGGGAGGGGGTCTAGGGGGCACGGGAGGGGCAGAGAGAGGGTCGTGGGAAGGTGGGGAGGGGATCTGGGGGGCACGGGAGGGGATTTGGGGAATCGGGGGGACCGGGGGGGAACCGGGCCGGGGGGTGGGGGGCGCGGGAGGGGATTTGGGGGGCACGGGAGGGGATTTGGGGGGTCGTGGGAAAGTGGGGAGGGGATTTGGGGGGCACGGGAAGGGATTTGGGGGATCGGGGGGGAACCGGGATGGGGGGTGGGGGGCACGGGAGGGGATTTGGGGGTCCGGGGGGAATCTGGGCCGGGGGGATGGGGAGCATGGGAAGGGATTTGGGGGGTTTAGGGCAGGTGGGGAGGGGGTCTGGGGGGCACCGGGGGGGGCTGGGGAGGGGGAGAGTGAGGGGTGGGGGTCTTGGGGGGGTGGGGACAGGTGGCAGGGCCAGGTAAGGGGCACAGGTAAGGGGAACAGGTAAGGGGGACAGGTGAGGGGGACAGGTAAGGGGGACAGGTGAGGGGGACAGGTGCCAGGGCCAGGTGAGGGGACAGGTGACAGGGCCAAGTGAGTGGCACAGGTAAGGAGGACAAGTGAGTGGGACAGGTGAGTGGGACAGGTAAGGGGGACAGGTGCCAGGTAAGGGGGACAGGTGAGGGGGACAGGTAAGGGGGACAGCTGAGAGGGACAGGTGAGGGGCCAGGTGACAGGGCCAGGTGGCAGGGCCAGGTGAGGGGGACAGGTAAGGGGGAAAGTGAAGGGGACAGGGCCAGGTAAGGGGGACAGGTGAGGGGGACAGGGCCAGGTGCCAGGTAAGGGGGACAGGGCCAGGTGGCAGGGCCAGGTGAGTGGGACAGGTGAGGGGACAGGTGAGGGGGACACGTGCCAGGTGGCAGGTAAGGGGGACAGGTGAGGAGGACAGGTAAGGGGGACAAGTGAGTGGGACAGGTGAGTGGGACAGGTAAGGGGGACAGGTGAGGGGGACAGGTGAGGGTGGCAGGGCCAGGTGGCAGGGCCAGGTAAGGGGGACAGGTGCCAGGTGCCAGGCCGGGCTTGTCGGGCACGGGCAGGGTGAAGGCAGGTGTGGCACAGCACAGGGGTCTCCACCCTCGGTGTCCCCCTGGTGTCCCCCCGGTGTCCCCCCGGTGTCCCCCCGGTGTCCCCCCGGTGTCCCGGCGCCGGTCCCTCCGCCCGGGGGTGGCCGGGCGGGCGCCGGGGCGTGCCGGGGCTGCCACCGGAGCCGGCTGGGCCTGTCAGGACCCGTCGGGTCCCGTCAGCGGCGTCGGCGGCGCGGGCAGAACCGGTTCCCCACGCCCTGGGCCGCCCCACGCCCTCCCCACGGGCACCGACCGGCGCCTTCCTCCCCCCACACCCCACAGGGCTGAAAGGGGGAGCCCCGACCCCCGGCCCGGGGGGCTCCACCGGCCCCACCTTCACCTACACCTTCCGCGGAGACCCCCACGCCATGTTCGCCGAGTTCTTCGACGGCCGCAACCCCTTCGACACCTTCTTCGCGCAGCGCAGCGGCGACGATGAGGACGGCGAGGAGGCCTTCAACACCTTCCACGTGGGCGGCTTGGGCGGCGTCAGCTTCCCGCGGGCGCGGGGCGCCGAGGGCCGCCGGCAGGACCCCCCCGTGCTCCACGAGCTGCGCGTGTCGCTGGAGGAGATCTACAGCGGCTGCACCAAGAAGATGAAGATCTCCCACAAGCGCTTGGGACCCGACGGGAAGACGGTGAGGAACGAGGACAAGATCCTGACCATCGAGGTGAAGAGAGGTTGGAAGGAGGGCACCAAGATCACCTTCCCCAAGGAGGGCGACCAGACCCCCAACAACATCCCGGCCGACGTGGTCTTCGTGCTCAAGGACAAACCGCACGACGTGTTCCGCCGCGACGGCTCCGACATCGTCTACCCGGCCGAGATCAGCCTGCGCCAGGTCCGTGGGGACAGCGTGGGGATGGGGACATCAGGGTGGGCTTGGGGACATCAGGAATGGGTTTGGGGACATCAGGATAGGTGGGCTTGGGGACATCAGGGTGAGCTTGGGGACATCAGGGATGGGTGGGAGGATATCAGGGTTGGGGGGGCTTCATGGGGACATCAGGGTGGGCTTGGGGACATCAGGAATGGGTTTGGAGACGTCAGGAATGGGTTTGGGGACATCAGGGTGGGCTTGGGGACATCAGGGTGGGTGGGCTTGGGGATGTCAGGGTGGGTGGGCATCATGGGGACATCAAGAATGGGTGGGTTTGGGGACATCAGGGTTGGGTGGCCTTGGTGGGGATGTTGGAGATGGGGTGGTCTTGGTGGGAACATCAGGGCTTGGTGACCTTGGGGACATCAGGATGGGTGGGGGGACATCAGGATGGGTGGGAGGACATCAGGATGGGTGGGAGGACATCAGGATGGGTGGGCATCATGGGGACATCAGGGTGGGTGGGTTTGGGGGGGACATCAAAGAGTTGGGGGCCTTGGTGGGGAGATCAGGGCTGGGTGGGTTTGGGGACATCAGGGTGGGTGGGGGGACATCAGGGTGGGTGGGGGGAAATCAGGACATCAGCTGGGTGGGTGGGCTTGGGGACATCAGGATGGGTTTGGGGACATCAGAATGGGTGGCCTTGGTGGGGATGTTGGAGATAGGGTGATCTTGGTGGGAACATCAGGGATAGATGGCCTTGGGGGGGACATCAAAGAGTTGGGGGCCTTGGTGGGGAGATCAGGATGGGTGGGCAGGGGGACATCAGGGTGGGTTTGGGGACATCAGGGTGGGTTTGGGGGCGGCAGGGTGGGCTTGGGGACATCAGGATGGGTTTGGGGACATCAGGGTGGGTTTGGGGACATCAGGGATGGGCTTGGGGACATCAGGGTGGATGGGCGGGGGGCGGCAGGGTGGGTGGGCATCATGGGGATATCAGGATGGGTGGGAGGACACCAGGGATGGGTGGGCTTGGGGGGACATCGGGGCTTGGTGGGCTTGAGGACATCAGGATGGGTGGGCATCATGGGGGCGGCAGGGTGGGTGGGTTTGGGGACATCAGGATGGGCTTGGGGACATCAGGAATGGGTTTGGGGACATCAGGAATGGGTTTGGGGACATCAGGGCTTGGTGGGCTTGGGGACATCAGGGTGGGCTTGGGGACATCAGGGTGGGTGGGTTTGGGGGGGACATCAAAGAGTTGGGGCCTTGGGGACATCAGGGCTTGGTGGGTTTGGGGGGACATCAGGGTGGGTGGGCTGGGGGCGGCAGGGTTGGTGGGCTTGGTGGGGATGTTGGAGATGGGGTGGTCTTGGTGGGAACATCAGGGATGGATGGCCTTGGGGACATCAGGATGGGTGGGCATCATGGGGACATCAGGGGTGTGTAGCATTGGGGACATTGTGGGTGGGTGGTCTTGGTGGGGACATCGGGGGTGGGTGGGTGGCAGTGGGGACATTGGGGGTGGGGTGGTCTTGGTGGGGACATTGGGGGGGTGGCATTGGGGACATCGGGTGGGTGGCACTGAGGACATTGGGGTGGTCTCCGTTGGGACATCGGGGTCACTCTGGGGTCACTCTGGGGTCACTCTGGAGTCACTCTGGGGGTCACTGTGGGGTCACTCTGAGGTCACTCAGGTTGCTCTGAGGGGTCACTCATGGGTCACTCATGGGTCACTCATGGGGTCACTGTGGGGGTCACTGTGGGGTCACTGCTCGCTGACGGTCCCCACGCTGGATGGCCGCTCCATCCCGGTGCACTTCCAGGATGTGGGACACCCGTGTGTCCCCGTGTCCCTGACGTGTCCCATGTCCCCTGTGTTCCTGACATGTCCCCATGTCCCTGACATGTCCCATGTCCCCGTGTCCCTGACATGTCCCATGTCCCCATGTCCCTGATGTGTCCCGTGTCCCCGTGTCCCTGATGTGTCCCGTGTCCCTGACATGCCGCATGTCCCCGTGTCCCATGTTCCTGCCGTGTCCCCAGGCTCTGTGTGGCTGCTCTCTCACCATCCCCACGCTGGACGGCCGCTCCATCCCGCTGCACTTCCAGGGATGGGACACCCGTGTGTCATTGCCGTGTCCCATGTCATTCCCATGTCTCTAACATGTCTCTAACATGTTCCTGGCGTGTCCCCAGGCTCTCTGTGGCTGCTCCCTGACCGTGCCCACGCTGGACGGCCGCTCCATCCCGCTGCACTTCCAGGGATGGGACACCCGTGTGTGCCCATGTCTGTGCTGTGTCCCTGACATGTCCCATGTCATTTCCATGTCTCTAACATGTCATTTCCATGTCATTGCCGTGTCCCCAGGCTCTGTGTGGCTGCTCCCTGACTGTCCCCACGCTGGACGGCCGCTCCATCCCGCTGCACTTCCAGGACGTGCTCCGGCCGGGGGTCCGCCGCCGGCTGCCCGGGGAGGGGCTGCCGCTGCCGCGCTGCCCCGAGCGCCGCGGGGACCTCCTGATCGAGTTCCAGGTCACCTTCCCCGAGAGGATCCCGCCCGCCTCCAAACCCCTCCTGGAGCAGCTCCTGCCCCCCTAGGGACCCCAAAACTCCCGGGGGGACCCCCGAGACAGGGACGGGGCCGGGGGGGGCGATGGGGTCCCAGCCTGGGGGGTTTGGGGTCACCCCAATGTCTCAGGGGGTTCTGGGGTGTTCCTGTCACCTAAACTTGGAGTTCAGGGGGGTTTTGGGGTGTTCCTGTTGCCCAATCTCACAGCTTGGGGGGGTTTGGGGTCACCCCAATGTCCCGGGGGGTTTTGGGGTGTTCCTGTCCCCCAATCTCAGAGTTTGGGGGAGTTTTGGGGTGTTCCTGTCCCCCAATCTTGGAGCTCGGGGGGGTTTTGGGGTCACCCCAATGTCCCAGGGGGGTTTGGGGTGTCACTATCACCTAATCTTGGAGCTTGAGGGGGGTTTGGGGTCACCCCAATATCCTGGGGGGGTTTTGGGGTGTCCCTGTCCCCCAATCTTGGGGCTCAGGAGGGTTTGGGGTGTTCCTCTCACCCAATCTCAGAGCTTGGGGGGAATTTGGGGTCACCTTCTTGTTTTGGGGGGATTTGGGGTGTTCCTGTCCCCTAATCTTGGAGCTCAGGGGAGTTTTGGGGTCACCTCCTTGTTTTGGGGGGGTTTTGGGGTGTCCCTGTCCCCCAGTCTCGGAGCTTGGGGGGATTTTTGGGTCACCCCAATGTCCCGGGGGGTTTTGGGGTGTCCCTGTCACCTAAACTTGGAGCTCAGGGGGGTTTTGGGGTGTTCCTGTCCCCCAATCTCAGAGCTTGGGGGGAATTTGGGGTCACCCTCTTCTCCTGGGGGGTTTTGGGGTGTCCCTGTCACCCAATCTTGGAGCTTGGGGGGGTTTTGGGGTGTCCCTGTGCCCCAATCTCAGAGCTCAGGGGGGTTTGGGGTCACCCCAATGTCCCGGGGGGGTTTTGGGGTGTCTCTGTCACCCAATCTCGGAGCTCAGGGGGGTTTTGGGGTGTCGCTGTCCCCTAAACTTGGAGCTCAGGGGGGTTTTGGGGTCACCCCAATGTCCCAGAGGGGATTTGGGGTGTCCCTGTTGTCCAGTCTCAGGGCTTGGAGGGATTTTGGGGTCACCCCAATGTTCCAGGGGGGTTTGGGGTGTTCCTGTCACCTAAACTTGGAGCTTGGGGGGGTTTTGGGGTGTTCCTGTCACTCAATCTCGGAGCTCAGGGGGGGTTTGGGGTCACCTCCTTGTTTTGGGGGGTTTTGGGGTCACCTCCTTGTTTTGGGGGGTTTTGGGGTCACCCCAATGTCTCAGAGGGTTTTGGGGTGTCCCTGTCCCTCAATCTCAGAGCTCAGGGGGATTTTGGGGTCACCTCCTTGTTCCGGGGGGGTTTTGGGGTCACCTCAACGTCCCAGGGGGGTTTTGGGGTGTTCCTGTCCCCTAATCTCAGAGCTCGGGGGGGTTTTGGGGTCACCCCAATGTCCTGAGGGGTTTTGGGGTGTCCCTGTCCCCCAATCTTAGAGCTTGGGGGGGTTTTGGGGTGTTCCTGTCACCCAAACTTGGAGCTCAGGGGGGTTTTGGGGTCACCTCCTTGTTCTGGGGGGGTTTTGAGGTGTCCCTGTCACCCTAATCTTGGAGCTTCGGGGGTTTTTGGGGTCACCTCCTTGTTTTGGGGGGTTTTGGGGTGTTCCTCTCGCCCAGTCTTGGAGCTCAGGGGGGTTTTGGGGTGTTCCTGTTGCCCAATCTCAGAGCTCAGGGGGGTTTTGGGGTCACCCCAATGTCCCGGGGGGTTTTGGGGTGTCCCTGTCCCCCAATCTTGGAGCTCAGGGGGGTCTTGGGGTCCCGAGGGGTTTTGGGGGGTCCCGTGGTGCCTTTGGGGGGATTTGGGGGTCCCCGGGATGTTTTTGGGGGTCCCGAGGGGTTTTTGGGGGGTCTTGAGGTGCCCTTGCGAGAATTTGGGGGGTCCTGAGGGGTTTTTGGGGGGTTCTGGGGTGTCTGTGTGGGGATTTGGGGGTCCCCGGGGTGTTTTTGGGGGTCCCGAGGGGTTTTGGGGGGTCTCGAGGTGCCTTTGTGAGGATTTGGGGTGTCCCGAGGGGTTTTGGGGGGTCCTGAGGTGCCTTTGGGGGGATTTGGGGGGTCCCCGGGGGGGATTTGGGGGTCTCCGGGGGGGATTTGGGGGTCCCCAGGTGTCCTTGCCCCCCCAACTTTGGGGGTCTTGGGGTGTCCTTGACCCCCTCATTTGGGGGGTCTTTGTCCCCAAATTTTGGGGGTCTTTGTCCCCTCATTTTGGGGGTCTTTGCCCCCCAATTTTGGGGGTCTCCACTTGTCATTACCCCCCAATTTCGGGGGTCCCCCCTGTCCTTGTCCCCCAATTTTGGGGGTCCCCGGATGTCCCCGACCCCCCAACTTTGGGGGTCTTTGCCCCCCCAATTTTGGGGGTCCCCACGTCCCCTCCCCCATTTTGGGGGTCCCACATTTGGGGGGGGGTCCCTTCCCACCCCCCCCGCCCAGGGGGGACCCCCGGGGGGGTTTTGGGGGGGCCGCGGGCGGCTCGGGGGGGGGGGGGGGGGAGGGGCCCCCGCGGTTTTTGGGGTGAAACCGCCCGGAAAAGGGGCCGAGAATAAAAACTGCAACTGAGAGGGGTGAGAGTGGTGGGGGAGGGGAAAGGGGGACCCCTCCCCAAAATAACACCGGACCCCTCCCCAAAATCACACCCGGACCCCTCCCCAAAATCACACAGAGACCCCTCCCCAAAATCACAGCGGGACCCCAAAATAACAGCGGGACCCCTCCCCAAAATCGCACTGGGACCCCTCCCCAAAATAACACCCGGACCCCTCCCCAAAATAACACCAGGACCCCTCCCCAAAATCGCACCCGGACCCCTCCCCAAAATCACACCCGGACCCCTCCCCAAAATAACACAGAGACCCCTCCCCAAAATCGCACTGGGACCCCTCCCCAAAATCACACCCGGACCCCTCCCCAAAATCGCACCGGGACCCCTCCCCAAAATCACACCCGGACCCCTCCCCAAAATCACACCGGGACCCCTCCCCAAAATCACACCCGGACCCCTCCCCAAAATCACACCGGGACCCCTCCCCAAAATCGCACCCGGACCCCTCCCCAAAATAACACAGAGACCCCTCCCCAAAATAACACAGAGACCCCTCCCCAAAATCACACAGAGACCCCTCCCCAAAATAACACCCGGACCCCTCCCCAAAATAACACCCGGACCCCTCCCCAAAATCACACCGGGACCCCTCCCCAAAATGGGGTTCGGGACCCCTCCCCAAAATCGCACCCGGACCCCTCCCCAAAATCACACTGGGACCCCTCCCCAAAATCACACCGGGACCCCCCCCAAAATCACACCGAGACCCCTCCCCAAAATCGCACCGGGACCCCTCCCCAAAATGGGGTCTGGGACCCCTCCCCAAAATCACACCCGGACCCCTCCCCAAAATCGCACCGGGACCCCTCCCCGAAATCACACCCGGACCCCTCCCCAAAATGGGGTTTGGGACCCCTCCCCAAAATGGGGTTCGGGACCCCTCCCCAAAATAACACCCGGACCCCTCCCCAAAATAACACCCGGACCCCTCCCCAAAATCACACCCGGACCCCTCCCCAAAAATCGCACCGGGACCCCTCCCCAAAATAACACCCGGGACCCCTCCCCAAAATTACACCGGGACCATCCCCAAAATGGGGTCTGGGACCCCTCCCCAAAATAACACAGAGACCCCTCCCCAAAATAACACCCGGACCCCTCCCCAAATCAGATTTCTGATCCTAAATCGGGCTCGGGACCCTTCCCCATGTCGGGGGACCCCAAATAGGGTCTGGGCCCCCAAATGGGGTTGAAGACCCCTCCCCAAAATGGGGTCTGGGAACCGACCCCCAAAATGAGGCTGAAGACCCCTCCCCAAAATGGGGTTTGGAATCCCAAATGAGGTTCGGGAACCCTCCCCAAATGGGGTTGAAGACCCCTCCCCAAAATGGGGTCTGGGCCCTCAAATGGGGTCTGGGACCCCCCCCCCCCCAGTGCCCCCGTCCCCATTCCCGCCCCCTCCCCAGATGGGGTCAGCGCCCCCCCAGGTGTGTCCCAGCTGTCCCCAGCTGTCCCCGCTGTCCCCAGGTGTGCCCAGGTGTGTCTCAGGTATGCCCCCAGGTGTCCCCAGGTGTGCCCCCAGGTGTGTCCCCAGCTGTCCCCAGGTGTCCCCAGCTGTCCCCAGCTGTCCCCAGGTGTCCCCAGCTGTCCCCAGGTGTGTCCCAGGTGTGTCCCCAGGTGTCCCCAGCTGTCCCCAGCTGTCCCCAGGTGTCCCCAGGTGTCCCCAGGTGTCCCCTCGGCCGTTTCTGTGTCTCCGTTTTTATTCCCAAATTTTCCCGAAAATACAAAAATAGCCCGAAGGGGGGGGGAGGGGCAGCAGGGGACACTGGGGGGGGACAGGTGACACCGACAGGTGACACCGACAGGTGACACCAACAGGTGACACCGAGAGGGGACACGGGGGGACAGGTGACACTGGGGGGGGACAGGTGACACCAGCAGGTGACACCAGCAGGGGACAGGTGACACTGGGGGGGGGACAGGTAACAGTGGGGTGACACCAGCAGGGGACAGGTGACACCGACAGGTGACACTGGGAGGGGACAGGTGACAGTGTGTGACTGACAGTGCGTGACAGGCTCAGGTGGCACCGGGGGGGTCCCCCAAAAGATTTTGGGGGGTCCCAAAATGAGGGGGGGTCCCCAGGGTGGGGGGGGGGTCCGGAATTTGGGGGTCCTGGGGGGGTCTCAGGGAATTTGGGGATGCTGGGGGTCTCAGGGAATTTGGGGGTACCCGGGGGGGGCTCAGGGAATTTGGGGGTCCAGCAGAATTTTTGGGGGGCGTTTCCAGCGTTTGGGGGGTTCCGCCCAATTATGGGGGTCCCCGATCCTTGGGGGGGGGGGGGTCCCCAATCATTCGGGGGGTCCCCGATCCCATGGGGGGTCCCGGGGAGTTTTGGGGTCCCCGTTTTGGGGGGTCCCAGAGTTTTTGGGGTCCCCATTTGAGGGGTCCCAAGGTTTTGGGGTCCCAGAGTTTTTGGGGTCCCCATTTGAGGGGTCCCAGGGTTTGGGGGTCCCGGGGTTTGTGGTCCCAGAGTTTTGGGGCTCCCAGAGTTTTTGGGGATCCCCATTTGAGGGGTCCCGGGGTTTTTGGGGTCCCAGGGTTCTTGGAGTCTCAGGTTTTTGGGGTCACCATTTTGGGGTGTCCCAGGGTTTTGGGGTCCTGGGGTTTTGGGGTGTCAGATTTTTGGGGTCTCAGGGCTTTGGGGTCCCCATTTTGGGGTGTCCCGGGGTTTTGGGGTCTCAGGGTTTTCAGGTCCCAGATTTTTGGGATCCCAGGGTTTTTAGTGTCCTGGGGTTTGGGGTCCTGGGGGGTTTTGGGGTTTCAGGGTGCTAGGTTTCAATGTCCTGGAGGTTTTGGGGTGCTGGGGTTTTTGGGGTGCCGGTTTCGGGGTCCCGGGGGTTTCGGGGTCCCGGAGTTTTGGGGTGCTGGTTTCAGGGTCCCGTGGTTTCGGGGTCCTGTGGTTTTGGGGTGCCGATTTCGGGGTCCTGGTTTCAGGGTCCCGGGGTTTTGGGGTTTCAGGTTTCGGGGTGCCAAGTTTCAATGTCCTGGAGGTTTTGGGGTGCTGGGGTTTTTGGGGTGCCGGTTTTGGGGTGCCAGTTTCGGGGTCCTGGAGGTTTTGGGGTCCTGGGGTTTTGGGGTGCCAGGTTTCAATGTCCCAAGGTTTTGGGGTTCTGGGTTTCAATGTCCTGGGGTTTTGGGGTGCCGGGTTTTGGAGTCTCAGTGGTTTTGGGGTGCCGGTTTCGGGGTGCTGGTTTCGGGGTGCCGGTTTCGGGGTGCCATGTTTCAATATCCCAGGGATTTTGGGGTGCCGGGTTTTGGGGTCCCAGGGGTTTTGGGGTGCCGGTTTTGGGGTCCTGGGGTCCCAGGTTTTGGGGTGCCGGTTTTGGGGTCCCGTGGTTTTGGGGTCCCGGCAGTTTCGGGGTCCCGGTTTCGGGGCCCCGTGGTTTTCGGGGTGCCGGTTTTGGGGTGCCGGGGGTTTTGGGGTCCCAGGGTTTTGGGGTCCTGTGGTTTAGGGGTGTGGGTTTCGGGATGGCAGGTTTTGGGGTCCCGTGATTTTGGGGTGCCGGGGGTTTTGGGGTCAGCAGCGGTTTTGGGGTGCCGGTTTTGGGGTGCCATGATTTTGGGGTGCCGTTTTTGGGGTCAGCAGCGCCCCGCCTTGGCGTCGCCGATGGCGCCCCACACGTCGAACACGAACTCGTCGGGGAACGCGAAATCCCCGAGCTGAGAGTCCAAAGCCGCCGCCAGAGAGTCGGGATCGCGCGCGTCACGGCCCAGCTCCACCATGGTGGCGGCTGTGGGGACATCGGGGACATTGGGGACATTGGGGACATTGGGGACATCGGGGACAGTGGGGGTGTTGGGGACATTGGGGACATTGGGGACATTGGGGGCATTGGGGACATCATTGGGGGCATTGGGGACAGTGGGGACATTGGGGGGACATTGGGGACACTGCAGAGGGGACATTGGGGACATTGGGGACATCATTGGGGACATTGGGGACATTGGGGACAGTGGGGACATTGGGGACATTGGGGGTGTTGGGGGTGTTGGGGACATCGGGGACATCGGGGACAGTGGGGACATTGGGGACAGTGGGGACATTGGGGACATTGGGGACATTGGGGACATTGGGGGATTGGGGACATTGGGGACATTGGGGACATGGGGGACATCATTGGGGACATTGGGGACATTGGGGGGACATGGGGACATTGGGGACATTGGGGACATTGGGGACATTGGGGACATTGGGGGTGTTGGGGGTGTTGGGGACATCGGGGACATCGGGGACAGTGGGGACATTGGGGACAGTGGGGACATTGGGGACATTGGGGACATTGGGGACATTGGGGGATTGGGGACATTGGGGACATTGGGGACATTGGGGGATTGGGGACATTGGGGACATTGGGGACATTGGGGACACTGGGGACATTGGGGATATCGAGGACATCAGGGACATTGGGGACATTGGGGTTGTTGGGGACATTGGGGACAGTTCAGGGGTCCCAAGGGCTTTTGGGGTTCCCCAGGATTTTGGGGTCTCGGATTTTAGTGTTCCCCGGGATTTTGGGGTTGCCGATTTTGGGGTCTCGGATTTTGGGGTTCCTCAGGATTTTGGGGTTCCCGATTTTGGGGTTCCTCTGAGATTTTGGGGTTCCCGATTTTGGGGTTCTTCGGGATTTTGGGGTTCCACGGAATTTTGGGGTCTCGGCTTTTGGGGTTCCCGATTTTGGGGTTTTTTTGGGATTTTGGGGTTCCTGATTTTGGGGTTCTTTGGGATTTTGGGGTTCTTTGGGATTTTGGGGTCTCAGATTTTGGGTTTCCTCAGGATTTTGGGGTTCCTGATGTTGGGGTTCCCGATTTTGGGGTTCCCAATTTTGGGGTTCTTCAGGATTTTGGGGTTCCCCAGGATTTTGGGGTCCCGTTTTGGGGTTCCCAATTTTGGGGGTTCCCCGGGATTTTGGGGTTCTTTGGGATTTTGGGGTTCCCGATTTTGGGGTCCCCCAGGATTTTGGGGTCCCCCAGGATTTTGGGGTTCGGGATTTTGGGGTTCCCAATTTTGGGGGGCTCACCCAGCTCGCTGTCCCGGATGCCCATGGAGCTCTCCAGCAGAGCCCGGGGGGGTTTTTTGGGGTGATCCCAGGGGGTTTTTTTTGGGATTTTCCCAGGATTTTGGGGTTCCCCGGGATTTTGGGGTCTCAGATTTTGGGGTTCCCCGGGATTTTGGGGTCCCCAGGATTTTGGGGTTCGGGATTTTGGGGTTCCCAATTTTTGGGGGGCTCACCCAGCTCGCTGTCCCGGATTCCCATGTAGCTCTCCAGCAGATCATCCACCTTGGCCACCGCCCGCTCCTCGAACGCCGACGGCTGCGGGATTTTGGGGGGATTTTGGGGGATTTTTGGGGGTCCCCGGGGGATTTTGGGGTCCCCAGGATCATTTTTGGGGTCCCCAGGGGATATTTTGGGGGTCCCTGAGTGGATTTTGGGGTTCCCAAGGGATATTTTGGGGAAATTTGGGGTGCCCAAAGGATATTTTGGGGTCCCCAAGGGATATTTTGGGGTCCTGGGGGTATTTTGGGGTCCTCAGGATCATTTTTGGGGTCCCCAAGGGATATTTTGGGGGTCCTCGGGGGGATTTTGGGGTCCCCAGGGGGATATTTTGGGGCTCTCTGGGAGGATTGTGTATCCCTGGGGAGATTTTGGGGATCCCTCGGGCGATTTGGGGGTTCCCATGGATATTTTGGGGTCCCTGGGTGGATTTTGGGGTCCTGGGGGATATTTTGGGGGTCCCAAGGCAATTTTGAGGGTCCCCAAGGGATATTTTGGGGGTCCCTGAGTGGATTTTAGGGTTCCCAAGGGAGATTTTGGGGAAATTTGGGGTCCCCAAAGGATATTTTGCGGTCCCCAAGGGACATTTTGGGGTCCTGGGAGTATTTTGGGGTCCCTGAGTGGATTTTGGGGCTCCCAGGATAATTTTTGGGGTCCGCAAGGGATATTTTGGGGTCCCTGAGTGGATTTTGGGGACCCCAAGAAACATTTTGGGGGTCCCTGGGAGGATTTTGGGACTCCCAGGATCATTTTTGGGGTCCCCAAGGGGCATTTTCGGGTCCCGAGGGGATTTTGGGCTCCCCAAGGGAGATTTTGGGGATCCCTGAGTGGATTTTGGGACTCCCATGAGACATTTTGGGGTCCCTGAGGGGATTTTGGGGTCCCCAAGGGAGATTTTGGGGATCCCTGAGTGGATTTTGGGGTCCCTGAGTGGATTTTGGGGTGGCTGAGTGGATTTTGGGGCTCCCAAGAGACATTTTGGGGTCCCTGGGGGGATTTTGGGGGTCCTTGGGGGGATTTTGGGGTCCCCAGGGGGATATTTTGGGGGTCTCTGGGAGGATTGTGGGATCCCTGAGGAGATTTTGGGGATCCCTCGGGGGATTTGGGGGTTCCCATGGATATTTTGGGGTCCCTGGATGGATTTTGGGGTCCTGGGGGATATTTTGGGGGTCCCTGAGTGGATTTTGGGGTCTCCAAAAGAGATTTTGGGGTTCCCAAGGGATATTTTTGGGAAATTTGGGGTGCCCAAAGGATATTTTGGGGTCCCCAAGGGATATTTTGGGGTCCTGTGAGTATTTTGGGGTCCCTGAGTGGATTTTGGGGCTCCCAAGAGACATTTTGGCGATCCCTGAGAGAATTTTGGGGTCCCTGAGTGGATTTTGGGGACCCCAAGAGACATTTTGGGGGTCCCTGGGAGGATTTTGGGGCTCTCAGGATCATTTCTGGGGTCCCCAAGGGACATTTTCGGGTCCCGAGGGGATTTTTGGGGTCCCCAAAGGGAGATTTTGGGGCTCTGGGGGATATTTTGGGGGGATTTTGGGGAGATTTTGGGGCCATTTTGGGGATATTTTAGGGATATTTTGGGGACACTTTGGGGCCGTTTTGGGGATATTTTGGGGATGTTTTGGGGACATTTTGAGGATATTTTGGTGTGATTTTGGGGATATTTTGGGGACATTTTGGGGATATTCTGGGGACATTTTGGGGATATTCTGGGACTATTTTGGTGCCGTTTTGGGGATATTTTGGGGACATTTTGGGGCTATTTTGGGGCTATTTTGGGAACATTTTGGGGCCGTTTTGGCGATGTTTTGGGAACATTTTGGGGCCGTTTTGGGGCCATTTTGGGGATGTTTTGGGGACCTTCTGGGGATATTTTGGGGCCGTTTTGGGGATGTTTTGGGGATGTTTTGGGGTGGTTTTGGGCTGATTTTGGGGATATTTTGGGGCCGTTTTGGGGATATTTTGGGGACATTTTGGGGACATTTTGGGGACATTTTGGGGACATTTTGGGGATAGTTTGGGCTAATTTTGAGGACATTTTGGGGATGCTTTGGGGACATTTTGGGGATATTTTGAGGCTATTTCGGGGACATTTTAGGGCCGTTTTGGGGATATTTTGGGGACGTATTGGGGACATTTTGGGGCTATTTTGGGGACATTTTGGGGCTATTTTGGGGACATTTTGGTGATATTTTGGGGACATTTTGGGGACGTTTTGGGGACATTTTGGGGATATTTTGGGGATGTTTTGGGGCCGTTTTGGGGCCGTTTTGGGGACATTTTGGGGCTGTTTTGGGGCCGTTTTGGGGCCATTTGGGGAATGTTTTGGGGACATTTTGGGGATGTTTTGGGGCTATTCTGGGGCCGTTTTGGGGATATTTTTGGGACATTTTGGGGACATTTTGGGGACCTTTTGGGGCCATTTTGGGGATATTTCAGGGACATTTTGGGGCCGTTTTGGGGATATTTTGTGGATATTTTGGGGACATTTTGAGGATGCTTTGGGGACATTTTGGGGATATTCTGGGGACATTTTGGGGACATTCTGCGGCCGTTTTGGGGCCGTTTTGGGGATATTTTGGGGATGTTTTAGGGATATTTTGGGGCCATTTTGGGGCCGTTTTGGGGATATTTTGGGGCCGTTTTGGGGATATTTTGGGGACATTTTAGGGCCATTTTGGGTCTGTACCTGCTCCTGCAGCGTGGCCGGGCCCCTCGAGCGCAGCCGCAGCGTCCCCCGGCCCGACACCCCCTGGGGGAGCCCCCCCCGGGCTGAGACCCCCCCGGAGCGGGGCCCGACCCCCTCTGGGACAGGGGACAGAGAGGTCAGAGAGGTCACCCAGGGGTCACCCAGGGGTCACAAAGGGTCACGCAGGAGGGTGACATGGGTCACGCAGGGGACACACAGCGGTCAAACAGGGGTCACCCAGGGGTCACCCAGGGGTCACACAGGGGACATCAGGGTCCCCATTGTAGGGGGCACCTTCAGATCCCCCCAGTCCAGCCCAGTGCTCCCAGTTCAATCCCAGTCCCTCCCAGTCACTCCCAGTTAATCCCAGTCCATCCCAGTCAATCCCAGTCCCTCCCAGTCTCACCCCAGGCCCTCCTGGGCTCTGTCAGCCTCAGTTGGAAGCTCTGCCCATGGGGCAGCTCCAGTCCAGTCCATGCCAGTTCAATCCCAGTCCCTCCCAGTCTCACCCCAGGCCCTCCTGGGCTCTGTCAGGCTCAGCCTGAAGCTCTGCCCGCGGGGCAGCTCCATCCCAGTTCAATCCCAGTCCCTCCCAGTTCAATCCCAGTTAATCCCAGTCCCTCCCAGTCCCTCCCAGTTAATCCCAGTACCCACCCCAGGCCCTCCTGGGCTCTGTCAGTCTCAGCCTGAAGCTCTGCCCGCGGGGCAGCTCCTGCAGCAGCCGCGCCACCTCGAAGTGCCGCGTCCCCACGAGGCTGCGCCCGTCCAGCGCCTCCAGCACGTCCCCGACGGCCACCTGGGGCAGGCGGGACATCAGCGAGCCCTGCCGGATCCGCTGCGGGATTAATTAATTACACCGGGAGTTAATTAATTACACCTGGGGCAGGCGGGACATCAGCGAGCCCTGCCGGATCCGCTGCGGGATTAATTAATTACACCGGGAGTTAATTAATTACACCTGGGGCAGGCGGGACATCAGCGAGCCCTGCCGGATCCGCTGCGGGATTAATTAATTACAGCGGGAGTTAATTAATTACACCTGGGGCAGGCGGGACATCAGCGAGCCCTGCCGGATCCGCTGCGGGATTAATTAATTACACCGGGAGTTAATTAATTACACCTGGGGCAGGCGGGACATCAGCGAGCCCTGCCGGATCCGCTGCGGGATTAATTAATTACACCGGGAGTTAATTAATTACACCTGGGGCAGGCGGGACATCAGCGAGCCCTGCCGGATCCGCTGCGGGATTAATTAATTACACCGGGAGTTAATTAATTACACCTGGGGCAGGCGGGACATCAGCGAGCCCTGCCGGATCCGCTGCGGGATTAATTAATTACACCGGGAGTTAATTAATTACACCTGGGGCAGGCGGGACATCAGCGAGCCCTGCCGGATCCGCTGCGGGATTAATTAATTACACCGGGAGTTAATTAATTACACCTGGGGCAGGCGGGACATCAGCGAGCCCTGCCGGATCCGCTGCGGGATTAATTAATTACACCGGGAGTTAATTAATTACACCTGGGGCAGGCGGGACATCAGCGAGCCCTGCCGGATCCGCTGCGGGGTTAATTAATTACACCGGGATTAATTAATTACACCTGGGGCAGGCGGGACATCAGCGAGCCCTGCCGGATCCGCTGCGGGATTAATTAATTAATTACACCGGGAGTTAATTAATTACACCTGGGGCAGGCGGGACATCAGCGAGCCCTGCCGGATCCGCTGCGGGATTAATTAATTACACCGGGAGTTAATTAATTACACCTGGGGCAGGCGGGACATCAGCGAGCCCTGCCGGATCCGCTGCGGGATTAATTAATTACACCGGGAGTTAATTAATTACACCTGGGGCAGGCGGGACATCAGCGAGCCCTGCCGGATCCGCTGCGGGATTAATTAATTACACCGGGAGTTAATTAATTACACCTGGGGCAGGCGGGACATCAGCGAGCCCTGCCGGATCCGCTGCGGGATTAATTAATTACACCGGGAGTTAATTAATTACACCTGGGGCAGGCGGGACATCAGCGAGCCCTGCCGGATCCGCTGCGGGATTAATTAATTACACCGGGAGTTAATTAATTACACCTGGGGCAGGCGGGACATCAGCGAGCCCTGCCGGATCCGCTGCGGGATTAATTAATTACACCGGGAGTTAATTAATTACACCTGGGGCAGGCGGGACATCAGCGAGCCCTGCCGGATCCGCTGCGGGATTAATTAATTACACCGGGAGTTAATTAATTACACCTGGGGCAGGCGGGACATCAGCGAGCCCTGCCGGATCCGCTGCGGGATTAATTAATTACAGCGGGAGTTAATTAATTACACCTGGGGCAGGCGGGACATCAGCGAGCCCTGCCGGATCCGCTGCGGGATTAATTAATTACACCGAGAGTTAATTAATTACACCTGGGGCAGGCGGGACATCAGCGAGCCCTGCCGGATCCGCTGCGGGATTAATTAATTACACCGGGAGTTAATTAATTACACCTGGGGCAGGCGGGACATCAGCGAGCCCTGCCGGATCCGCTGCGGGATTAATTAATTACACCGGGAGTTAATTAATTACACCTGGGGCAGGCGGGACATCAGCGAGCCCTGCCGGATCCGCTGCGGGATTAATTAATTACAGCGGGAGTTAATTAATTACACCTGGGGCAGGCGGGACATCAGCGAGCCCTGCCGGATCCGCTGCGGGATTAATTAATTACACCGGGAGTTAATTAATTACACCTGGGGCAGGCGGGACATCAGCGAGCCCTGCCGGATCCGCTGCGGGATTAATTAATTACAGCGGGAGTTAATTAATTACACCTGGGGCAGGCGGGACATCAGCGAGCCCTGCCGGATCCGCTGCCGGCAACACCGCGGTTACACCGGGAATTACACCGGGGTTACACGGGGGTCACACCTGGGTTACACCGGGAATTACACCGGGGTTACACTGGGGTTACACTGGGAATTACACCGGGGTTAAACCAGGAATTACACCGCGGTAACACCGCCGTTACTCCAGGGGTACTCCAGGGGTACACCGGGGTTACACCACCGTTACTATGGGGGTACACCGGGAATTACACCGGGAATTACACCGGGGGTACAGCGGGGTTACACCTGAGTTACACCTGGGTTACACCAGAGTTACTCTGGGGTTACACCTGGGTTATACCGGGGTTACACCTGGCACACTTGGGCACACCTGAGTTACACCTGGGTTACTCCAGGGTTACCATAGGGTTACACCTGTGTTACACCTGAGTTACACCTGTGTTACACCTGGGCACATCTGGGTTACACCTGGGTTACACCTGGGTTACACTGGGGTTACACCTGAGTTACAGCTGGGTTACAGCTGGGTTACACCTGGGTTACACCCGAGTTACACCTGGCACACCTGAGTTACACCTGGGTTACACCAGGGTCACACCCGGGTTATACCTGGGTCACACCTGGGGCAGCTGCAGTTACCTGCTGTAGGTAAGGGTGAGCCCCAGCGCTGCCCCACTGCCCCACCCAGCTGTGCCAGGTGTGCCCAGGTGTGCCCAGGTGTGTCCCAGGTGTGCCCAGGTGTGCCCAGGTGTGCCCAGGTGTGCCCAGGTGTGTCCCAGGTGTGCCCAGGTGTGCCCAGGTGTGTCCCAGGTGTGTCCCAGGTGTGCCCAGGTGTGTCCCAGGTGTGTCCCAGGTGTGCCCAGGTGTGCCCAGGTGTGTCCCAGGTGTGCCCAGGTGTGTCTCACCTGCCCAGGTGTGTCCCAGGTGTGCCCAGGTGTGCCCAGGTGTGTCCCAGGTGTGCCCAGGTGTGTCTCACCTGCCCAGGTGTGTCCCAGGTGTGCCCAGGTGTGTCCCAGGTGTGTCTCACCTGTCCCAGGTGTGCCCCAGGTGTGCCCAGGTGTGTCCCAGGTGTGTCCCAGGTGTGCCCAGGTGTGTCCCAGGTGTGTCCCAGGTGTGTCTCACCTGTCCCAGGTGTGTCCCAGGTGTGCCCAGGTGTGTCCCAGGTGTGCCCAGGTGTGTCCCAGGTGTGTCCCAGGTGTGCCCAGGTGTGTCCCAGGTGTGTCCCAGGTGTGTCTCACCTGTCCCAGGTGTGTCCCAGGTGTGTTCCAGGTGTGTCCCAGGTGTGTCTCACCTTGATGAAGGCGTAGCCGGCGCCGTTGTCGGTGATGGTCAGCCCCAGCCCTGTCCCTGTGTGTGCCCAGGTGTGTCCCAGGTGTGTCTCACCTGCCCCAGGTGTGTCCCAGGTGTGTCCCAGGTGTGTCCCAGGTGTGTCTCACCTGTCCCAGGTGTGTCTCACCTTGATGAAGGCGTAGCCGGCGCCGTTGTCGGTGATGGTCAGCCCCAGCCCTGTCCCTGTGTGTGTCCCAGGTGTGCCCAGGTGTGTCCCAGGTGTGCCCAGGTGTGTCCCAGGTGTGCCCAGGTGTGTCTCACCTGTCCCAGGTGTGCCCAGGTGTGTCCCAGGTGTGCCCAGGTGTGTCTCACCTGCCCCAGGTGTGTCCCAGGTGTGTCCCAGGTGTGTCCCAGGTGTGTCCCAGGTGTGTCTCACCTGTCCCAGGTGTGTCCCAGGTGTGTCCCAGGTGTGTCCCAGGTGTGTCTCACCTGTCCCAGGTGTGTCCCAGGTGTGTCCCAGGTGTGTCCCAGGTGTGTCTCACCTGTCCCAGGTGTGTCCCAGGTGTGTCCCAGGTGTGCCCAGGTGTGTCTCACCTGTCCCAGGTGTGTCCCAGGTGTGCCCAGGTGTGTCCCAGGTGTGTCCCAGGTGTGCCCAGGTGTGTCCCAGGTGTGTCCCTGTGTGTGCCCAGGTGTGCCCAGGTGTGTCCCAGGTGTGTGCCCAGGTGTGCCCAGGTGTGCCCAGGTGTGTCCCAGGTGTGTCCAGGTGTGTCCGAGGTGTGTCCCAGGTGTGTCCCAGGTGTGTCCCAGGTGTGTCTCAGGTGTGTCCCAGGTGTGCCCAGGTGTGCCCAGGTGTGTCTCACCTGTCCCAGGTGTGTCCCAGGTGTGTCCCAGGTGTGCCCAGGTGTGTCCCAGGTGTGTCCCAGGTGTGTCCCAGGTGTGTCTCACCTGTCCCAGGTGTGCCCAGGTGTGTCCCAGCTGTGCCCAGGTGTGTCCCAGGTGTGCCCAGGTGTGTGCCCAGGTGTGCCCAGGTGTGTCCCAGGTGTGTCCCAGGTGTGTCTCACCTTGATGAAGGCGTAGCCGGCGCCGTTGTCGGTGATGGTCAGCCCCAGCCCTGTCCCTGTGTGTGCCCAGGTGTGCCCAGGTGTGTCCCAGGTGTGTCCCAGGTGTGTCCCAGGTGTGTCTCACCTGTCCCAGGTGTGTCTCACCTTGATGAAGGCGTAGCCGGCGCCGTTGTCGGTGATGGTCAGCCCCAGCGCCTCCTCGGACTTGAGCACCTGCACGTCCTTCTGGCGGCCGCGCGTGTGCGCGAAGATGAAATCCTCGAGGCCGATCTGCCCCCCCAGGAGCTTCTCCATGTCCACCTGCGGCGTGTTCAGCGTGCAGAACAGCACCTGGGACAGCAGGGACACACCTGGGGGTCACCTGGGGGTCACCTGGGGCAGGGACACACCTGGGGGGTCACCTGGGGACATGGGACATTGGGGACATCAGTGTGTTCCACGTGTAGAACAGCACCTGGGGCAGGGACACACCTGGGGCGTCACCTGGGGATATTGGGGACACTGGGGGCATTGGGGACGTCGGTGTGTTCAGCGTGCAGAACAGCACCTGGGGCAGGGAAACACCTGGGGGGTCACCTGGGGACACTGGGGATACTGGGGATACTGGGGACACTGGGGACATCGGCGTGTTCAGCGTGCACAACAGCACCTGGGACAGGTAAACACCTGGGGGGTCACCTGGGACAGGTAAACACCTGGAGTGTCACCTGGGGACATTGGGGACACTGGGGACACTGGGGACACTGGGGACATTGGGGACATTGGTGTATTCAGCATGAAGAACAGCACCTGGCGTGATAGGGACACACCTGGGATGTCACCTGGGACAGCAGGGACACACCTGGGGTGTCACCTGGGACGTCACCTGGGACAGCAGGGACACACTTGGGGTGTCACCTGGGGTGTCACCTGAGGACACTGGTGACACTGGGGACACTGGGGACACTGGGGACATTGGGGACATTGGGGACATCAGCGTGTTCAGCGTGCAGAACAGCACCTGGCGTGGCAGGGACACACCTGGGGTGCCACCTGGGACATCACCCGGGATAGCAGGGACACACTTGGGGTGTCACCTGGGGGGTCACCTGGGGCAGCACCTGAGGACACTGGGGACATTGGGGACATCAGTGTGTTCAGTGTGCAGAACAGCACCTGGGACAGGTAAACACCTGGGGTGGCACCTGAGATGGCAGGGACACACCTGGGGTGTCACCTGGGACAGAAGGGACACACCTGGGGCATCACCTGGGACATCACCTGGGACAGCAGGGACACACCTGGGGGGTCACCTGGGGCGACAGGGAAACACCTGGCGTGTCACCTGGGACAGGGCAGCACTAGGGGACACTGGGACATGGGGACACTGTGGACAGGGGGACGTTGGGGTGCTCAGCGTGCCATCCCAGTTCATCCCAGTCCATCCCAATCCCATCCCAGTTCCATCCCAGTCTATCCCAGTCCATCCCAGTCCATCCCAGTCCCTCCCAGTCCATCCCGGTCTATCCCAATCCCATCCCAGCCCCATTCCCAGTGCTCCCAGTGCTCCCAGTCCCTCCCAGTCACCTCGCTGGGCGGGATGCCGAAGGCCTCGCCGATTTTGCCGTACAGCTCGCGCACGTTGCCGAAGCCCGTCCCAGTCCATCCCAGTCCATCCCAATCCATCCCAGTCTATTCCAGTCTATCCCAATCCCATCCCAGTCCATCCCAGTCCCTCCCAGTCCATCCCAGTCTATTCCAGTCTATCCCAATCCCATCCCAGTCCATCCCAGTGCTCCCAATCCCATCCCAGCCCCATTCCCAGTGCTCCCAATCCCATTCCCAGTCCCTCCCAGTCCCATTCCCAGTGCTCCCAGTCCATCCCAGTCCCTCCCAGTCCCTCCCAGTCCATCCCAATCCCATCCCAGTCCCATTCCCAGTGCTCCCAGTCCCTCCCAGTGCCCCCAGTCACCTCGCTGGCCGGGATGCCGAAGGCCTCGCCGATTTTGCCGTACAGCTCGCGCACGTTGCCAATCCCATCCCAGTCCATCCCAGTCCATCCCAGTCCATCCCAGTCCCTCCCAGTCCATCCCAATCCCATCCCAGTCCATCCCAAACCCATCCCAGTCTATCCCAGTCCCTCCCAGTCCCTCCCAGTCCCTCCCAGTCCATCCCAACCCCATCCCAGTCCATCCCAGTCCATCCCAATCCCATTCCCAGTCCATCCTAATCCCATCCCAGTCCATCCCAATCCCTCCCAGTCCATCCCAATCCATCCCAGTCCCTCCCAGTGCCCCCAGTCACCTCGCTGGGCGGGATGCCGAAGGCCTCGCCGATTTTGCCGTACAGCTCGCGCACGTTGCCGATCCCATCCCAGTCCCTCCCAGTCCATCCCAGTCCCTCCCAGTCCATCCCAGTCCATCCCAGTCCATCCCAGTCCCTCCCAGTCCATCCCAGTCCATCCCAGTCCATCCCAATCCCATCCCAGTCCCTCCCAGTCCCTCCCAGTCCCATTCCCAGTGCTCCCAGTCCCATTCCCAGTCCATCCCAGTCCATCCCAATCCCATCCCAGTCCATCCCAGTCTATCCCAATCCCATCCCAGTCCATCCGAATCCCATCCCAGTCTATCCCAGTCCATCCTAATCCCATCCCAGTCCATCCCAGTCCATTCTAATCCCATCCCAGTCCATTCCAGTCCATCCCAGTCCCTCCCAGTCCATCCCAGTCCCTCCCAGTCCATCCCAATCCCCTCCCAGTCCATCCCAGTCCATCCCAGTCCATCCCAATCCCATCCCAGTCCATCCCAATCCCATCCCAGTCCATCCCAATCCCATCCCAGTCCCATTCCCAGTGCTCCCAGTCCATCCCAGTGCCCCCAGTCACCTCGCTGGGTGGGATGCCGAAGGCCTCGCCGATTTTGCCGTACAGCTCACGCACGTTGCCGAAGCCCATCCCAGTCCCTCCCAGTCCCTCCCAATCCTATCCCAGTCCATCCCAGTCCCATTCCCAGTGCTCCCAGTCCCTCCCAGTCCCTCCCAGTGCCCCCAGTCACCTCGCTGGGCGGGATGCCGAAGGCCTCGCCGATTTTGCCGTACAGCTCGCGCACGTTGCCGATCCCATCCCAGTCCATCCCAGTCCATCCCAGTCCATCCCAATCCATCCCAGTCCATCCCAGTCCATCCCAGTCCATCCCAGTCTATTCCAGTCTATCCCAATCCCATCCTAATCCATCCCAATCCCATCCCAGTCCATCCCAGTCCCATTCCCAGTGCTCCCAGTGCTCCCAATCCCATCCCAATCCCATTCCCAGTGCTCCCAATCCCATTCCCAGTGCCCCCAGTCACCTCGCTGGGCGGGATGCCGAAGGCCTCGCCGATTTTGCCGTACAGCTCGCGCACGTTGCCGAATCCCTCGACGCGGCCGGTGGCGCTGCCGTGCGCCAGCTGCGTGTGGAACACCAGCCGGGGCCGCAGGGCGGGGGGAGGGGCCGCGCCCCCCCCCCCGGGACCCCCCCCGGGGCCCCCCCGGCCTCGCCCGGGGCCCCCCCGCGCCCCCCGGCCCCCTCCTCGTTCTCCACCAGCGGCGGCGGCTTCTTGCGGCGGCCCAGGCCCAGCGGCATGGGGGGCTGGGGGGCTGGGGGGGGTTTGGGGGGCTTGAGGGGGGTTTTGGGGGGTCTGGGGGTGTCTAGGAGGAGTTTGAGGGGTCTAAGAGAGGTTTTGGGGGGTCTGGGGGTGTCTAGGAGGGGTTTTGGGGGGGTCTGGGGGGGGTTTGGGGGGTCTGGGGGGGGGTATTGGGGGGTCTGGGGGTGTCTAGGAGGGGTTTTGGGGGGGTTTTAAGAGGGTCTAGGAGGGGTTTTGGGGTGTGTAGAAGGGGTTTCTGGGGGTCTGGGGGTGTCTAGGAGGGGTTTTGGGGGGTCTAGGAGAGGTTTTGGGGTGTGTAGGAGGGGTTTCTGGGGGTCTGGGGTGTCTAGGAGGGGTTTTGGGGGTTCTAGCAGGGGTTTTGGGGGGTCTAAGAGGGTCTAGGAGGGGTTTGGGGGGTCTGGGGGTGTCTAAGAGGGCTTTGGGGGGTCTAAGAGGGGTTTTGGGGGGTCTAGGAGTTGTTTGGGGGGTCTCGGAGTGTCTAGGAGAGGTTTTGGGGGGTCTAGGAGGGGTTTTGGTGGGTCTAGAAGGAATTTGGGGGGTCTCAGCGCAGCTTTGGGGGATCTAGGAGGGGTTTTGGGGGGTCTGGGGGTGTCTAGGAGAGGTTTTGGGGGGTCTAAAAGGGCTTTTGGGGGGGCCTTGAGGGGGGTTTGGGGGTTCTAGGAGGGGTTTTGGGGGGTCTGGGGTGTTTGGGGATGGTCTAGGAGGGGTTTTGGGAGGCTTAAGGGGGATTTGGGGGGTCTAGGAGGAGTTTGGGGGGTCTAGAAGGTCTTTTGGGGGGTCTGGGTGGGGTTTTGGGGTTCCCGGGACGGTTTTTGGGGTTCCCGGGATGGTTTTTGGGGTTCCCGGTGTCCCCGGGGCGGTTTTTGGGGTTCCCGGTGTGCCCGGGGCGGTTTTTGGGGTCCCCGGGGCGCTTTTTGGGGTTCCCGGTGTGCCCGGTGTGGTTTTTGGGATTCCCGGTGTGGTTTTTGGGGTCCCCGGGGCGGTTTTTGGGGTTCCCGGGGCGGTTTTTGGGGTTCCCGGTGTGCCCGGGGGGCTCTCGCCGCCCCCACCCCGAGTTTCGGGGGTCCCGCTCGGCTCCGGTGGGGCTGAAAGGCGAGAGGGGAAACTGAGGCACGGGGGGGGCGGGGGGGATCCTCGAATCCCGGAGACCCCCGGGACCCTCCCGGGACCCTCCCGGACCCTCCCGGATCCTGTCCCCGTTCCCGGTCCCGGTTTCCCCATTCCCAATCCCATTCCCGGTCCCGGTTTCAGTCCCGTTCCCGTTCCCGTTCCCACATTCCCGGTTCCAGTTTCCCCATTCCCGTCCCGTTCCCGTTCCCGGTTTCAGTCCCGGTTGCGATCCCGTTCCCGGTTCCGGTCCCGGTTTCCCAGTCCCGCTCCCACATTCCCATTCCCGGTTCCGGTTTCCCGGTTTCCCAGTCCCCGTTCCCGGTTCCGATCCCATTCCCAGTCCCGTTCCCGGTTCCGGTTTCCCGGTTTCAGTCCCGTTCCCGTGGTCCCGTTCCCGTTCCCAGTCCCGGTTCCGATCCCGTTCCCACATTCCCGGTTCCGGTCCCGGTTTCCCCATTCCCGTCCCGTTCCCGTTCCCGTTTTCAGTCCCGGTTCCGGTCCCGGTTTCCCAGTCCCCGTTCCCGGTCCCGCTCCCACATTCCCATTCCCGGTTCCGGTTTCCCGGTTTCAGTCCCGTTCCCGTTGTCCCGTTCCCGTTCCCAGTCCCGGTTCCGATCCCGTTCCCACATTCCCAGTTCCGGTCCCGGTTTCCCCATTCCCGGTCCCGATCCTGATCCGGTTCCCATTCCCGGTCCCGGTTTCCCCATTCCCGGTTCCGGTTTCCAGGTCCCGACCCGGTTCCCATTCCCGGTTCCGGTCCCGGTTTCCCATTCCCGGTTCCGATCCCGATCCGGTTCCCATTCCCGGTTCCGATCCCGATCCGGTTCCCATTCCCGGTTCCGGTCCCGGTTTCCCATTCCCGGTTCCGATCCCGATCCGGTCCCATTCCCGGTTCCGGTCCCGGTTTCCCCATTCCCGGTTCCGATCCCGATCCGGTTCCATTCCCGGTTCCGGTCCCGGTTTCTCCCCTCACCCGCCGGGCGCTGCTGCCGGAGCGGAGCGGCACTTCCGGGGGGCGTGGCCAAACCGCGCCCTGACCAATCACCGCCGCCGCCCCGCCCCGCCCGGACCAATGGGAGGCGTGGGGGGGAGGGGAGCAGGAAAGGGCGTGGCCGCTCCGCCTCCCCTCCCCCCCCGCCCGCCGCGGGCAATGGGCGCGCCCGGGCTCGCGCGCGGCGCAGCCAATCAGGAGCCGGGACGGCGCGTGGGGGGCGGGGCCGGGGAGAGGCGGGGCAGCGGTGGAAAGGGGCGGGGCCAACGGGGAGGGGCGGGGCCTAACGTAAAGGGGCGGGGCCGGAGAACAACATTGGAGAGGATTTTGGGGCAAATTCCCAGGAATTTTGGCATTAACTCCAGGGATTTTTGGGATGAATTCCGAAGGATTTTGGGGTGAATTCCGAAGGATTTTGAGGTGAATTCCGGGAGATTTTGGGGTGAATTCCAGAGGATTTTTGGGGTGACTTCCAGGGAATTTTGGGGCAAATTCCAGAGGAGTTTTTTTGGGTGAATTCCAGAGGATTTTTTGGGGTAAATTCCAGGGGATTTTTGGGGTAAATTCCAGAGGATTTGGGGTGAATTCCAGGGAATTTTGGGGTGAATTCCAGAGGATTTTGGGGTAAATTCCAGGGGATTTCTTGGGTAAATACCAGGACGATTTGGGGTCAATTCCAGGGAATTCTGGGGTGAATTCCAGGGAATTTTGGGGTGAACTCCAGGGAATTTTGGGGTGAATTCCGAAGGATTTTAGGGTGAACTCCAGGGGATTTTGGGGGTGAATCCAGAGGATTCTGGGGCCAATTCCAGAGGAGTTTTGGGTGAATTCCATAGGACTTTTTGGGAAAATTCGAGAGGATTTTGGGGCGAATTCCCGGGAATTTTGGGGCGAATTCCAGAGGATTTTGGGGCAAATTCCAGAGGAGTTTTGGGGTGAATTCCAGAGGATTTTGGAACAAATTCCAGAGGAGTTTTGGGTGAATTCCATAGGACTTTTTGGGAAAATTCGAGAGGATTTTGGGGCGAATTCCAGGGAATTTTGACATTAACTCCAGGGAATTTTGGGATGAATTACGAAGGATTTTGGGGTGAACTCCAGAGGATTTTTGGGGCCAATTCCAGAGGATTTTTTCGGTGAATTCCAGAGGATTCTGGGGCGAATTCCAGGGAATTTTGGGGTGAACTCCAGGGAATTTTGGGGTGAATTCCAGAGGATTTTTGGGGTGAATTTCAGGGGATTTTGGGGTGAATTTCAGGGGATTTTGGGGTCAATCCCGAAGGTTTTGGGGCCGATCTCTGGCGATTTTGGGGTCATACCAATTTTGGGGTGAATTTCGGAGCTTTTGGGGTCCAAGTCAGGCATTCGGAGCTTCCACGTTATTTGGGGTGAATTTGAGGGATTTTTGGCACCCGGGAAACATTTTTGAGGTGAAATCCAATTTTTTTGGTGCTAATATCCGAAGTTTTGGGGCTCTGGGTTATTTTGGGGTGAATTCTGGGGTTTGGGGGAGCCAGAAGTTTGGTTTTGGGGCAAATTCCAGGGAAATTTGGGGTGAATTCCCGGGGATTTTGGGGCCAATTCCAGAGGATTTTGGGGTGAATTTCAGGAGAATTTTGGGGCAAAATCCAGGGAATTTTGGGGTGAATTCCAGAGGATTTTGGGGTGAACTCCAGGGGATTTTTGGAGTGAATCCAGAGGATTTTGGGGCAAATTCCAGAGGAGTTTTGGGTGAATTCCATAGGACTTTTTGGGAAAATTCGAGAGGATTTTAGGGTGTATTCCAGGGAATTTTGGGGCAAATTCCAGAGGATTTTTTTGGGTCGAATTCCAGAGGATTTTTTGGGGTGAATTTCAGAGGAATTTTGGGGCGAATTCCAGAGGATTTGGGGGTGAATTTCAGAGGATTCTTGGGGCAAGCTCCAGAGGATTTTGGGGTGAATTCCAGGGAATTTTGGGGTGAATTCCAGGGATTTTTGGGGCAAACTCCAGAGGATTTTGGGATTGCTCAGGGGGGATCTGGGGGTCCCGGCCGGGAGGAATTTTGGGGTCGATTCGAGGCTTTTTGGGATCCTGTATTTATGTACAGCGGGGGAGGGGCGGAGGGGCTGTCCCCACCATTATCCCAGTCTGGGATCCACCCGTGGGATCCGCCCGGGATCCATTTGGGATCTGTCCTGGGATCCATTTGGGATCTGTCCTGGGGATCCATTTGGGATCTGTCCTGGGATCCATTTGGGATCTTTCCCGGGGATCCATTTGGGATCCGCCCGGGATCCATTTGGGATCTGTCCTGGGGATCCATTTGGGATCTGTCCTGGGGGTCCATTTGGGATCCACCCGGGATCCATTTGGGATCTGTCCTGGGGGTCCATTTGGGATCTGTCCAGGGATCCATTTGGGATCTGTCCTTGGATCCATTTGGGATCTGTCCTGGGGATCCATTTGGGATCTGTCCTGGGGGTCCATTTGGGATCTGGGATCCCTCCGGGGGTCTGGAAGGGTTTGGGATCCATTCAGGGACTCCAGGATCCATCCGAGGGGTCTGGGGGGATCCGGGATCCATTCGGGGGGTTCGGGATCCATCCGAGGGCTCTGGGATCCATTTGGGGTGTCCAGGGGGATTCGGGATCCATTTGGGGGGTTTGGGATCCATCTGAGGTGTCCACAGGGATCCAGAACCAATTTGGATTTTCGGGATCCATCCGAGGGTCCAGGGGGATCTGGGATCCATTTGGGGGGGGTCCAGGATCCATCCAAGGGGAGCCGAGATCCATTTGGGGAGTCTGGAATCCATCCAGAAGATCCAGAGGGGCCCAGGATCCATTCAGAGACTCCAGGATCCATCTGAGGGCTCCGGGGGGATCTGGGATCCATTTGGGGGGTTCGGGATCCATCTGAGGGTCCAGAGGGGCC